GAAAGTCGTCATCAAAATGGGTGAGAATGTCGTCAATGTTGAGAATAATGCAGTCACCAAACTGTATCGCCATGACTGTGATTACAATTCCTGTCCTACACGCTATTCCAAATTCTCCGACATCGATGCGGAGCAGGAAAATCTGCGCAATGGCATGACGGACGTCCCAATCATTCATCGGCATGTTTTCGAGGAGAAGAAGTGGATAACGGAGTCCTTCACTGTTCAGAATCCTTCCATGCGAGCCCATCTGCAAGTTGCGTTGGCCAAGTATCAAGACTTTGACCTGGAGCTCGAGAACTGGACTTTTACTGAGCCCTATAAGCCAATCGTGCACCGCTGGGATCGGCTCAATGCTTTGTGCAATACAACCACAGAACCCCAGGGCAAGCAAGCCATTGACCAATTGATGGAATTCCTTCGTCCTATTGTTGCACCATCTGTGGACTCTTTGGCGCAAACAAGAAAGTCTGGTAAAGTCTGCTTCAACGATGTTTGGCAGATTTTCCCGCCCGGAGAGCTTGCTGTCACAAGCTTCTTCGGCGTGCCCGCTGTTTGCCGCGTGCTTCAGTACGAAAAACACGAACCTAGGGGCTTGCCGCCCTCTTGGATTGTTACCCTTGAGTACCTCGACTGGAACGGGGAGCACTGCGGATACACCACGACCAAAACCAAGATCACGTATTTCAAAGGCTTTCGATTTGTAGCTTCACTCTCTGTCTTTCCCTTGTCCTTTTCCCAATCCGCTGCCCAGATCAAGAGTCGTACAATTGAACGAGGGCGTAAATTCGAGAAGCTTCGCGGGTATCATTTTCGAGTGTGCGTTGGAACAAAAGTTTTGCTGGAGACAGAGGAACCAGAGGAGCGACCAGTATGATAAAGTCCACATGTCCTTTCCAAGAGTACAAGAACTTACTTTGATACTTCAGGTAGCAGGCCGAGTCATCGTCGATGCGTTTGCATACTATCAGAGCAACAACATTGTCAAACCGCAACTCCGGTCTCTGTCAACAGACGATGACCAAGGCGATGGAGAGAAGCCAGAAGGTGAGGAGGAGACCCAAGATTGGGAAGACAGTGCCGGAGACACTGCCGTTGATGGCTCAGAGATGACCGCCAAGAGCTTGAACAAGGCGGTAGCGCGCAATGAAGATCTTCGCTCTTTAAGCGACGAGCAGTGTCTTCTGGCCACACCCTGGTTGAAGGGGCTGGACCTTAAGACCAAAGAATGGGGTAAATATAGCATTCGATCATATGTGTAGACCATGCTAACATCAGAAGCACAATTCCTCGTGGATGATCTCACTGAGATAGAGTGGAACGATGCTGCTTTTGATCATCTAGTGCTTCCAGGAAATGAGAAGGAATTGGCCTGGGCATTTGTGGAGAACAAAGCACTCTCTACAAACCATTTTGACGATTTCGTCCAAGATAAAGGTACGTGTTTGGTTCCTTTGCCACATCCGAGCAGAACCGTTGACATAATTCAGGTCGAGGCATCATCATCCTGATGTTTGGGCCACCTGGTGTAGGCAAGACCTACACAGCCGAAGCAGGTAAGAATTCTTCCGTGACAATAGAACAACATGATTTCTTTCTAATATACATCATTAGTCGCGGAACGGTCCCGAGTGCCACTGTATTCGATGAGTGCTGGAATGCTCGGCACGACTCCAAAAGCTGTTGAGGCTGCTCTTGACCGAGCTTTAGAGTTGTGCAAATTGTGGAATGCTATGCTGCTTTTGGATGAGGTCGACGTCTTCCTTGGCGCTAGGACAGACACCGACCTAGCTCGCAATGAACTTGTTGCTGGTTTGTGAATTTTACCCTTGGAGTTGCTCTCTTGGCTAACACTATCAAGTGTTCCTCACAAAGCTGGAATACTACCAAGGAATTTGTTTCCTCACTACTAATCGCATTACTAGCCTGGATCATGCATTCCAGTCTCGTGTTGACCTATTCTTACCTTATGCTGATTTAACGGCTCAGGCTCGACGAAAGGTCTGGAAGAATTTCATCGATCGCGCCGGACAGGATAAATTTGTCGTGAAAGATGACGATTTGGACGTGTTGGCTGGAGTCAGTCTAAACGGCCGCGAGATCAAGAACCTGATCAAGAGCGCTCATCTTCTGAGCTTGAAGGGGAAAGAGAAGATTACCATGGAGCGCTTGTACATGCTGGCCCAGAATCGCCTGAAAGCACTTCAAGCCCTTTCAGCATGAGGCACGGGGATGTAGGGACGAGATGGCGATGTAGCACCTTACCCAGACTGCAACTACTGTTGGCTGAGACAGAATATGGAAGGAAACACTCATTGTCTAGATTATGCTTATTAGGCAGGTGAAGCAATAAAAACTAGGTAGAATGATATGATGCTCGTCGATGAATATAGCACACAGACATTCGCTAGACCATGAGTTCGTACAGCCAGCATCACGATGTTCTACAGATTAAAATGATGCCTGAATCTTGACCTCGCCCAATTCCTTCTTCCTGGGTGGCCTGGTGCTGCTTTAGCCTTAAGTGCAATGGATTCGCTTGGGGCGTTGGCTGTGGCGCGGTCTGGGAGCCTTTTCAAATAGGCCTAGCTTGTAGGATTGACCCCTTAATTAAGCCGTGTGGGGCCTCTGTCGCTATTCCAGGCTGCTTTACTTCGAGCACAAAATGATGAAAGACGCGTTTTTTCCCCCAGCCGTAAGTCTCCATCACCACATTGTGGACGCCAGTGCAGTGTCAATCGTTTGAATACCAAGTCGTTCGTTATTCCGCGTACAATCAATGTTCTTTAGCCCTGACCCGAGTTGATACATAATGAAATTTCTACCCATCATCCTCCCCATCGCAGCAACTGCAGTTGCAACAAGTCTGGAGCAGCCGGCTGAAGATCCACAACTCGGTTTGTCCACAGTTCATGGCTGCTACGCATCGGTAGGCGAACTGCAGCTGGGTGGAACAAACACGTTCAACACGAAAAACTCATGTGCGAAGAGCTGCCAAGATGCGGGTGCCTTCGTGGCCGCCACCCAACGCAGCTCTTGCTATTGCGGCGACAAATATCCCCCGGCCAGCGCCCTCGTTAATGACAGCCAGTGTGATTACGCCTGCCCAGGCTATAGTCTGGAAGCTTGTGGCGGGTCCAGCGCTTTTACTGTTATCAACACGGGAATAAAAGTCGAGGTTGAGAACTCTTCTGGTGACTCAACCAGCTCCGAGGTAATATATTCTATCTCTCTTCATCTATCTATGCTCAGACCTTTTTAGACGCCAGTGGTTTTACCGTCTACTACTAGTACTTCTTCCTTTTCAGCCTCATCTACATCCATAGTCACAGACTTCGAAACCACAACTACAGCAGCGTTGAGGGCCTCATCTACGACGGGACTAGGCTCGAATAGGACATCTACTATCAGCACCTCGGCCGGATCTGCATCTACTTCACCATCTCCATCTACAGTTGCGAACAGCAGTGCAGTGTCTCAAATTTCTCTACGCAGCCTCAATATGGCCATCTTGGGACTGGGTATTGCTTTCTTGGTATAGGTTGTTGCGTTTGAGGGCATGAATATATGTAATCTCGAGATATCTATTGTATATTGAATACTATGTCCATTCAGCGAGACATCACTCCAATGAGTACACCTCCCCTAAACAAACCAACACGTATAGTGGCTCTCCTGACCCGGCGCCTGTCTTGCGACTATCCAATTGATGTCGGCTAGTGTAGTCTTCTTGTTTTATTATTGTCAACAGCGTCACTTCTACAGAACCACTGGCATACAGGAGAAGCGAATGACGTCCGAGAATGTAAGAAACCGGAAGCATGTAACGAGTGGGCCAGGAAGGATGGATACCAGATATCTGGGATTGCAGGAGGAGAATGGTATCAGGTTAGTTGTCTTTGAGGGTGATAGCTGGAAGAAAGAATGGAATGCGTTCCTCAGAATAGACAGCCATGGCTGCTTGTATGTATCTTCGGAGCGAAATCTCGACTACCTGGGTTGCTAGGAGCCACTGAGGGCTCCTTAGTAGTACGATTCTTGATACCTCATATTGATGATAAAGGTCACAAAGTATCGAACTTGGGTGTAGGCATTGACTCATTGTATTCAGAAAGTTACTCCTAGAGAGTGAGTGGGTAACTCTTTAGTTGGCATCTCGTGGTTGTAGAGTAGTGCTGACTGAACTAATCCTTGTGCGTGGGGCACCTAGTGCCACCCGAACCTATGGCTTTTCCAGCTGAACATTGATAGCGCTGTCAAGGCGAGAATTCTGTCGCTCCAAGAGGCATAATTTACATCTTTTTTGGGGATCTTTCTCGCTAAGCAAGCTTTCAATCTGGAGGAATAGTAAACTCTTGGATAGTTCTCAATTATGTTGGCCAACTGTTATAATGAGATGACTCAAGAGGTACAATTAAAATGGGCTTAGCTTAGGCAACACCGCGAGGTCGCGACGATCCCGGCTGTCTACTCGATAAAGCATTGAGCGTCATGCATTCCCTCCGAATGACTCACAACTAAAACAATCATGGCTGTGGTCTTGTACGTTATTGGAGGAATTGTCCGCGTGTTGTCTGCTCAGAACACAGCATTTAAACCACCTTTCTTGCCTTCACCATCGGTTATCACAGTCCGATATACAGCATTATTTACTCCATTCCTAATAGGAAAGGTTTCTCCGCTAGCCTTATATCATCAAATCAATCGAGTGAAAAAGCAACAGTATCAACATGCAAGTTCGCCTTCAAGAATGTTTACCACAAGCTTCATGTCAGCGCACTGTTTATAGAGCTCCAGACCCGCACTTAGATAAAGCATCCTGAGTCCTGCCAGTCGCCCAGGACGCTATTGGCAAGATGGGTTCTCTATTGTCAAGATTTCGATTTCCCGAAAGTCAGTCGGCCCTTGAAACCCTCCCGTTCGATATTCTTTTCGAGATCAGCCAATATCTTGACTTCCGTTCGATACTGCACATCTCGTCCACCTGCAGAATACTAAGAGAAAAGATCGATCCTCTATTGGTGGCCAGTCATAGCACCAAGGTTGCTTTCTTTCTAGAGGTGGAGCGCTACCCTCAGTATAATGACCCGGGTCGCCTGGCTTGTTTTCGGTGCTGGAAGCTTTTGCCAAAAGATTACTTTGGCACAAATCAAACAAAAAATCGCATGGGCAAGAATAGCGCCTCTTGGAAGCCATTGATCAGGTGTAAACGATTTTGTTGGGACTGTGGAGCCAGGGATCGCCTTTACCTTGAGCAACGAGGCATTCGCAAGGGTGGCTACTTGTGGTATCTCTGTTATGAGTGCGGTGAATACAAATTGAAGTCCCAACGGTGCGTGCAAGAAGAGACAGATGAGGAGGGAAACGTCATACTGGTCAAGAGATGTGGCAAGTCAACGAAGTCAAGACCTTCGACCATCGAGCAACTCCCCTCCGGAATTATGAAGAGGATTTTGGAACCTTTGAAATACAAAGACTGCATAATGCTCTCACAGACTAACCGTTATTTCAAAGCCCTGGTCACGCCCCAGAATTGTGCTATTCGCGATAAATTCTTGTTTGTTCGAAAGATATCAAGTGAGAAGAAGGCGGACTTTCTTCCTTGCTACTGCTGTTTCAGGGTTCGGAGGCGAGAGAAATTTACCACCGAACACCAGCAGCTTGCACGCAAAGATCGATTCAAAATTGTTCGCAAATGTCGAGAATGCCTTTCTCGGTCGCACCAGCCAACAGTCGATGGCCGCGCAATGCTTGAGAGAATCAAGCTGATGGAGTACTGTGTGAACTGCAGGGAACTCAAATATCGTAGTGAAACATGTTTTGGGTGTTATGAGAAGTATTGCAGGTCAAGAGTCTCGGGAGAAAGTCTGCGACGACAAAGGAAAGTCATAGCGGAATATCGTCGACAGTATGATCCATTCGACGAGCTCGACTTGAGTATTGCAACTTTGTGGTATAGAGAACAAGTGAAAGCATTCTAATAACAACTGAACATACTCCTCGCTTTCGAAATCACGTATTTCTTTGGCTGAATGGAATAATCACATCCAATTCACTATTGTCGTAAATCAAAACTGACTTGCATATTTTCATGCCCTCTTCCAATCTGTCGATCTATTTTCTGTAACTGTTACTGAAAATAATCTACTCATCTCATCGAAACTACCTAGATAGTCATTTACAAATCCGTCAATATCGTTGGTGATATACTCGCTGCACGTCTCCCGGATCCAACGAACCCAATGAAGGAAGCAATTCAGAGCATTTCGGGATGCGGATTACGTCGAGATTCCTATGTTTCCAAGCGTGAAAGTCATCTTATGCCCAAGCATGACACTGTACGGATATTATGATGTTCGCGAATGCAAGAACGTACCTGTTGCGGCGCGAGCCATGCTGTCACACTGCTCAACACAATTGAGTGTCTTGCATCGCCCATTCTCACGAGTTCAATGAGGATTTCAGCCATCACACCGGAATAGATTGTGTGAATAGAAATTAACGGCTACCAAATCAGGCGTCCGGTCGCTAATCATTGGAATGGATCTTGTGAAAAGCAAAAAAGGCAACTTTTTGTTTCCAGATCATTCGGCCCCGTGCCGGGCTCTTCTAATTCCCGAGCGAACCCAGCGAACCGCCACGGGCTCCTTGACGCCAGACAGCTTTTGTGGATTAGAACGGGTATTCATATGCCCCGAATTGTACCCAAGGCGATCAGCGATAAAGTTTTTTTTTAGAAAGTCGATGTGCCGGACTGAACAAGATGGATTTGCAATACTCTCCCGGCCGAGGTTTCTTCACGCTACTTTTGTTTATCTGCCGCCTTGCAAAGCCGCTGGAACCGCCAGGATGAAATCTGATGCTGAACGCAAATCGACGCCCAGATCCAGAGGGGCGAATGAGCCCACAGTCTCAACAGACTCAACAACGGCGAAATCGAAGGAAGAGCCATCTGATGATGTCACTACCACAGAAGAGCCAAGTAGTCTCGACAAATCTAACTCGAAGAAATCGGTCACAGCAGCTGTACTTCTGATGGCTTCAATTCTTCTGAGCTCTTTTGTCGTTGCTCTCGATAGAACCATTATTGGAACAGTAGGAAAACCCTACATAAAGCATCCTGGGATTTTATACTGTACTATCGCGCGCTGACATGATTTCGACAGGCTGTACCCCAAATAAGCAACGAGTTCAACGCGTTCAGTGACATCGGCTGGTACGGAAGTGCTTATCTACTAACATGCTCTGCTTTACAGCTATTGTATGGGAAAATCTACACAGTTTTCTCGTTGAAGTATGTCCTACTTCTCAGTATCTTGCTTTTCGAGATTTCTTCGGTTATATCAGGGGCGGCCCCCAACTCGGCCGCGTTTATAGTCGGAAGGGCAATATGCGGAGTTGGGGCAGCAGGAATTCTTGCTGGAGTGGTAAAAGAACCTCTCATCCCGACGAAGCTGGACTGAAGATTAAAGAGTATGGCAGGTCATATGCATTTCTGACGTTGTCCCTTTGGAAAAACGACCGCTAGTGCAAGCATTGTTTGGCGCTCTAATGGGCATCGCATCAGTCACGGGTCCTTTGATTGGTGGAGGGTTTACCTCGAATGTTACGTGGAGGTGATGTCGCGCTTAGCGTCTATCCCATTTCTTTTTTGCAGAAAGTGCTGACCAGCTCCAAGATGGTGTTTCTACATCAATCTATCCCATTGGCGGGATCGCGATGGTTGCCATATTTTTCTTCCTCAACGTTCCCAGGCGAGAAACTACGAAACTTCCATTTGCAAAGAAGCTAGTACAGCTCGATGGTTTAGGCACTGCAATGGTTGTTCCTGGAGTGATTTGCCTTTTGTTGGCTCTTCAATGGGATGGCCAAACTTATGCTGCAAGTTCTCTACTAAATCATCTCACATTACTCTATGCTGACATTGTATAGTGGAGTAGCGGCCGCATTATTGCCCTCTTGACTCTCGCAGGAGTATTGCTCATTGCATTCGCTATCGTTCAGATGTCGATGCCTAGAACAGCAACACTTCCACCACGTATGTTCAAGCAGCGTAGTGTAACAGCAGCATTATGGACAACATTGTGTCTTAATTGTGGGAGCTATATAATCTGTATGAGACCTATATCATGACGAAAAGGTATCGACTAACCCTTTTTAGTGTACTTTCTTCCACTCTGGTTCCAAGCTATCAAGGGTGTCACGGCTGCAGAATCGGGAATACGAACCCTACCTTTGATGCTATCTATGATTGCAGGAGTTATATGCGGTGGCGTGATAAACGCTAAGATCGGATACTATACTCCTCTAGCAATCATAGGATCATGTATAATGTCAGTTGGATGCGGGCTACTTACCACCTTCCAAGTCAATTCGGGAGAGGGACAATGGATTGGCTATCAAGTCTTGTACGGCATTGGCTTAGGCATGGTATTCCAGATACCAAACCTTGCCACACAGACCTGTCTACCAAAGGAGGACATCCCTATGGGACTAACCCTAATGCTATTCACCTCAGGTCTTGGTGCGACGGTTTTTGTCGCCGTAGGCGAGAATGTGCTAGCCAATCAGCTTGTTCAAAGACTCTCTTGGGTGCCAGGCTTCGACTCTAGCCTAGTCACATCCAGTGGCGCCACATCGCTTTTGGATTCATTACCTTCAGATCTAAGAGCGACGGGCCTTATTGCATACAATGAAGCGCTTCGGAAAACGTTTCAAGTCGGGCTCATCCCAACATGTCTGGCCGTCCTCGGCGCTGTTGCGCTAGAATGGAGGAGCGTAAAGAAGAAGTCAGAGGCACAGGCCACTACTGAGACAGAGAAGCAAATATGATGGGAGTAGTACTCGGCCAATTGTGTATTATGGGACAAGTGGAGGTATCTCGGCCGCAAAGAGAGAATATGAGGATAGGCTAGAAGGACCAGTTGGCGAAAGTTTATTAGACCACCCTACTCTTTTTTGTAATATAACTCAGCGCCCCCCTTATAGTTTTTATCAAATTAAGATTATTGTTTCAAATGTTGGTTTTGATTCAAGTTCAATTAAAAAGGGTTCTGGCTAATGAAAGAGGGACCTACCATACTTGTAGCTAGGTAGAGCTGCTACCATTCACGCTGGGCCATTTGCGGGCGATGATACTAAATATTGAGAGTCATGATACTCATTGGGGGCCTCAAATATCTTTCTATTACCTTACCTAGGTTGGTCCATCGAGTTCTACAAAGATAGTATTCCCTCGTTGAGGTAATGATTCGCTTGCCGAACTAATATCTATGACCATCTAGCCGAGGGAATTCCTGTCCGTCTAGAAACGCACCCCGCATGACGCTAAAACCAGAAGGTTTAGGCCCAAATTCCACATTATTTTTCCTTGCCCTTCAACTCTCATGAACCTTACCTGACCCTTAGCAACCAGTATGGTAAATGGATTGAAAGGGTAGCGATTCACGAGTCCTCAAACAGGACAGGATTTTCATCGTAGCGATTTTAAGTTGTGTATGCGGGAGGAAGATTATTCACTTAGGCAGCCGATATAGTACAATCATACGATTGCAATGCCATCGCAACGTACACGGGCTGCAGCTGTATGCATTGCCTGCCATTCTCGCAAGGTAGGCTCTTGGACATGTGCCAAAGTGTATTAGAAGTCTTGTTAACCCTCTATCTCTATGATCAGGTCAAATGCGATTTAGAGTCGAAGTCAAACAATTGCTGCAGTGCCTGTGAAAGGCGGAAACAGGTCTGCCGGTTCGTACTCAAAATCAACTGGGTTCTAACTAACCATGTGCTGACTTGGGTGTCCACCACCAGTCCACGGCGAACGGCGGTCCTCCGTGAGTCGCGGCGAAAGGCAGCCAGCTTAAGTCCCGAGGAACATCTCATGGGCTTACCTCGGGATACTTTCACTGTGACGAACAGCCTGGAATCTGCACAATCACTTGCCGCCGCCACTCGGCTTGCATCTGCACAAATGAATACGACACGCGAACAAGGCAGTACCCATAGCCATATCGAGCTAGAAAAGCAATTGGGATACATTGGAGAACAGTCTCTAATGGCTGGGTCAAGGCCAGAAGATTATCCGAGGACGGAAAGCGCTCACTTGGCAACTATCAACGACCGACTCTTGCAAGTAGCTGGAGGCCTTGTCCCACCTAGCAGGATCTTCCTAGATGCAGCGAAGGATTCCTATCGTCTTCACGTTCGCTCTCGTGTGCCTGTACTTGACGAGTCTGACTTGGCATCGGAATCACTACCAATCGTACTCCAACAATCGTTATGTTTGGTTCATGCCCTGCTTCGTCATCCTAGGTCTTTCTCGCTCAGCGTTGTTCAGGGGGAGGATTATTACATCAAAGTCAAAACCTTGCTTTTCACAAACTATGAGACTAACAACATTACCGCCTTAAAGGCAATGTGTCTTCTCCATTCCTGGAACATGTCTCCGCCGAATATAGTTACCTTCGACAGCAGCTGGTCTTGCATGGGCAGCGCGATCCGCTACGCGCTGCACCTAGGTCTCCACAAAGAGTCAACATATATCAGGTTCCACAGCCCACTCGTAGCCCGTCGAATCGCATGGTATCTCTTCGTAAGAGTATCCTTTCATTTAGACTCTGGCTGATAAGACCACAGCCCGCTAACAGCCAGCCATACAGGCCCATGACAAGATCCAGACAATCTGCTGGCATCGCCCGCCCATGTGGCCGTCCACGTTTTTCGATGTCGCGCCACTTAAGCTTTCAGACTTTGATATCAAAGATCAAGATTCCATGAGCTTTATATTCTTTACTAAGCTTGTTCAGATCTTGGAACGGATTATCGACATAGGAAGCAATGGCTCCGTTCAAGACCATGAAAAGGTGAGCTTCGCCGCTGCTATCTGTAATATCATTAATCGTTTATGTCAGCAATCCACTTACTGACAATCTCATCGGGACAGCCATTTAGGACTCTTCAGATGCTGGTCGATTGGATCAAGTCCTTACCTCATGAAATCTCACTATACCACTCAAACAGACCTCGACCATTTGTGCGGTCTGTTCACGAGCTCTATATCTTTTATTTCGTAAGCTTGATCGTGTTCTCCCATCATCATGGTAAGTCATTGGGCTCGCATGCTGCATCCCTCATTCAACTGGTAGCATCGACAATGGCCGTCAGGTTGTATGAGGAGATTGATTTCAGAGACCAAGTCACGTATCTCTCATCAACGCACAATTGGTGTTTAATGGTGGCCTGTATACCACAAATTGGCTTTCAGAACACGATATACGATGAGGACCAAAGCTGCGCAAAAGATTTACAGATATTGGTTGCTGTTTTGAAACAACTCGCCGACAAGTGGCCTCCATCACGCAGAATCCTGAACCTCGTCCAAAAGGCTTGGCGTCCCGAGTCGACTATTGTTGGCAACGAGGTGCTGGACTCACCGGGGAGAGCTTTTCAAACAGATAGCGGCGGTGACTTGCTTGAAGCAAGAGACCTTTTCCCTTTTCCGGACTCTGCTATACCACTACTACGCTCTCTTAGTGGTTGCAGGCTCGGTACGACGGTGAACGCACCACGAGGAGATGCCACGTTTGATAGCAGCATAAACTGGATGTATGACGAGCTCATTCTTGACAACAATCATACATTTTCTTTTGGCTGACTTAATACCTCTGGTTACAATTCATGAGAGGGAACACTACACCGTCCGTCTGCTGGCCTGTTTTGTCGATCCATTCGGCAGCGCTAGTAGCCCTACTTGCCGAAATCTCGGGAGTGCTCTAACACGCGGCAAGACTGGTTCTTGTGAATGACTAAATACGCCAAAGCATGCATGGCATGGTACCGGAGATGACCAATGTTATAAACGAAACTATTGCATCCCACTGCGCTAGAACGGAGTCATACCCCGGATATTTGGAGCCGAAAGTCGGGGCCGAGATGTTTACTTTTTACCTACTCCAGTCCTCCGCCGATCAGTCAAGACCGACTAACCGAGCCCGGTGAGTATACCGAGCGAGTCAACTGCGTAGGTCAATTTTCGACATCTGACATCGATAAGTATCTGGTGGGGAGAGCACACAAACAAATGACCTCGAGTAGGAGGAATGCTAGTCGTACCGAATCTCGGCAGTGCCGAGACGGAATTGGCCCACAGGTTCTCATGCCTTCGTGATTCACTGGCAACCTCTTCACCTCACTTCATGCCCCCTTCACTGACCAGTAGTAAAATGGCAGCGTCTCTTGAAACCCTTTCGCCGTCGTTCGAAGATCGCACCGATTTCGATCTCGCAAGCCGAGGATTCCTCGGGGCGTTGAAACCAGGCATCATCAAGAACGCCAAGGGGGAGGTTGTCATTGATTTGGACAAGTACAACTGCTTTGAGAAAGACTGTCCGCCAACAGCAAACCCAAAGCTATGGAGATATGGGCAGCTTCTATATCGGCAAGGCCTCTATGAAGTCGCCAAGGATCAAATATACCAGGTCCGCGGCTTCGATGTATCGAACATCACTTTTGTTGAAGGCCGGGAGGGCGTCATAGTGATTGACCCCCTGGTCTCTAATGAGACCGCCTCCGCAGCTCTCCACCATTACTGGCAGCTCCGCGGCCACAAGAAGCCTGTCAAAGCTATGATTCTCTCGCACTCGCACATAGATCACTTTGGAGGTGGGCAGGGCATCGTGGACGCCAGCGACGACAAGTCGTTCCCGATCATCGCCCCTGCAGCTTTCATACGGGAGGCTATTAGCGAGAACACCGTAACAGGACCTGCCATGAGGGCTCGCAGCGCCTACATGCGCGGTGCCTACCTGCCCAGAGGTCCTGAGGGACAGATTGGAGATGGCCTCGGACTGGGCATGTCTGTTGGTACTCACTCGTGTCTGCCACCGACGATTCTCATTCACGAGACTGGGGATGAATTAGCAATCGATGGCGTGAAGATGGTGTTCCAGTCTGTCGATGGAACCGAGGCCCCAGCCGAGGTCAACATTTTCTTCCCAGAGCTCGAAGCTGTTTTCATCTCTGAATGCCTCACGCACACTCATCACAACATTTTGCCCCTACGAGGAACCGTTGTTCGCGATGCTAAGCTCTGGTCTCAAAAGCTCGACGAGACGATGATCCTGTACGGAACTAAATCCAAAGTCCTGTTTGCGGGTCACCACTGGCCGACTTGGGGCTGCGATGAGATTTGCAAACTAATGATCGAGCAACGAGACTTTTACGCCTACTTACACGACCAGACAATCCGCATGGCTAACAAAGGCATGACAGGCGCCGAGATCGCCGAACATATCACCATCCCCGCTCAATTTCAAACTGCGTGGCACCTTCAGGGCTACTACGGGTCAGTCAGCCACAACGTCAAGGCAATACATCAAAAATACCTCGGGTGGTTTGACGGCCGGCCGCATACTCTATGGCAATATCCCGCCGCTGAAGAAGGCGCGCGCTACGTCGAGGCTTTTGGTGGGATCGACAAGCTCGTAGCGGCAGGTGTCCGCTTCACGGAGGAGAAACAGGACCTGCGCTTCGCGTGCACGTTGCTTGCACACGCAAACTATGCCGACAAGTCGCACGAGGGCGCCAAGAAGGCCCTGGCGCGGTGCTATGAGCGCCTGGGGTACGGAGCAGAGAACGCTACGTGGCGCAACTTCTACCTCACCGGAGCACACGAGCTCCTTGGCAAGGAGCGCTACTCGCGAGGCGCGCAGCCGCTGAGCCCGTTCAACCCGGGCGTGCCCACGGATAAAATGCTTGCCACGTTGGCGGTCAAGATCGACGGTCCCAGGGCTGCAAAACAGAGCTTCTCAGCGCTCGAGCTACTCATGGAGGACGGAGATGATGCATGGAGGCTGACGGTCAGTAATGGCGCGTTTATCTACCGAAAAGAACTTCCCGAGCAGAATGCCTCCCAGCAGGTCAACTCTACTTTGCGGGTAAAGAAGAGCGAGCTTATAGAGCTTCTGCAGTCCAAGTCAGGGTCGCTTCCAGATGGTCTCTCGGATTCCGAGAGGACGACATTTCACAACTTCCTAGATGTATTCGAAGTGTAGTCTAAAGGCGGTCGGGATGCACAATGCAAACATGATGGTTCCCCGTTGAAAACCTGCACGTGTGGTCGACTGAAATTGGATGCCGTGTTCTCATGACATTTTGATGAAAATACACTAAAATTCTGTCTGTCACGCTCACTTGGGTTGAGACCGAGATGGTGGGCAAATCGGAAAGATATTCCGAATGTGTGAGACTGCCCCTGCTTTCGTGCGTAAAGATGTAATGTACGATATATCCATCCTCCCGCGGATGAGGTTGGCCCGTCGATAGTGCATACTGACTCACGGTGCCTTTTGGCGTCAGTCAAGGTATGACGGGCATTTGTCTTCGAGGGTGCGCAACAAATTCATTCGATAACTCGCTACAGTAAAAATGCCGTCTATCCATGATACTCCGGACATCGATTCACGCGTGAAACACCAATTCTCCTATCAAACCGGCCAGAACCCAACGAAAACACCGTTGTCCCTCCAGCGGTATGCTGTCCACCGTTTTCTAGCGTTTACTCCTCCTTGTGTATTTCGATGCTTGGGGGAGCCCCGACTAGTGTTTTGCATTGGGCATAAATCACGAATTGGCCCGCCACCAGCCCACAAGTCATGACGATACGAGGGCCCAGACCCGTCAATAGCAGCCGCTTGGGTCCGAATTCCCGGGCGAGCCCAAACATTCTGCTCATTGTGCTCTGATTCGGGTCACCAGCACCCTTGTTCATTGCCGACAAAAGGGTATCTGCTGGATGTGACAGCACCGCCGCGGCGACACCTGCTACAATGCCGCTCGTCAGCTCGACGCCAGTCGACTCCAGCTGCGTTAGTTTCGCCTTCCGCTCCGGGCCAATCGTTCGGTAGATGGCCTCGACGGCAGCCTCGTGCACGGAGAACTGCCCCACCGCGTACGGGACCTGCTTGAACAGCAGCGGGACGAAGCCCGAGTAGAAGCCCTTGAAGCCCTCCTCGCGCGCGAGGCGCATGAAGCCAGACGTCAGCCCGGTCGCGAAGCCACGCTGAGACACGAGGCGGATGCGCGTCGCCTCGAGCGGGCACAGCAGGATGTCTGCGAAGAACTCGGCGCTGGCGCTCGCGCCGAGGTAGATCGGGGTGCGGTACTGCGTGGCGCGGTCGGGCCCGCCGACCAGGCCCACGAACTGCTTCTTGAAGAACTCGTAGCCGGCGAACTTGCCGCCACCCTGCACCAGGTAGCCGACGGCCGTGGGGCCGAAGCCGGTCAGCAGCGCGGCGGCGCCCTCGCCTGCAACGATCTTGCGCCCTGCTGAGATCATGTTGAGTCCCTTCATGGCATCGTCGACCTGGATTCGGGTCTTGACGACGTCAATGGGCGTGGCGGCCTGTGAGCTGGTTAGTGATGTTCTTGATGCCGCTTTGGCAGGGGGTCGGGAGGTCCATTACGCCATGAGTGAGCGTCGCAGCCAACGCGCCAGCACCAAAGAACTTGACATAGTCGCTGGGCGTGAAAGTCGGTACTTCGTCCTTTGATTTCAGCGTTGACATCTTGGCAATCCGTGTGGTAAATTAACCGAAAGAGGGTTCCTGGAGAGCAATCGCAATCAAGAAGTGGTGACGACGTCTTCCAGATCTGCTTGTGATGAGTGGCCGATGAGTAAGCGTAACAGAGGTAGAAGGTCGGGGAGCTCGGCGAGCGCCAGTCGCGAGCAATGGATGTCCGTGTTGATATTGGGTTTCTTTCTACTTGGAAATACAACCGATTGTCCACAAACGCCAGGTGAGTCCCACGATCTATCGATTGTTCAAAACGAACGTCTACAAAGTGATGCAGGGTGCTATCTGCTTCAAAAAGCTTGGTTGCGCCTCACCGGCCAATCCTTATATTGGGCAGGGGCCAAAACAGAAGCCTATGACGTCGTCCCGGCACACCCGGAGGGCCCGGCAGATTAGCGCTCTTCGGGCCTTTCCCGTTCCATGTTCGGCGCTGGCGCGGAATTCGTCAAACTTATGAAACCTCGGCCAGTGTAGACATCTCCATCCAGTCCAATCGGCACCTTATCAGTGCATGCATAAATAATTACGAGTCTTCCGCAGCTGAGAAGTGGCTCCGTTGGTCCCGGGCTCGGCTCCTCGCTTCACCGACTGCGGTCAAAAACGCGATCAAGCTGATGGGGGTACCTCACGCCAAAATGCGACACATTCCAATGAGATGAAAGCAACAACAGCCCGGCGCCTTGATTCTGTTTCCTCGTCAAACTATTTTCCTATGAATTGTTTCCCTTTCCAGTGTAAACAGCGAAGCAAACAACGCCGATAACTTCCTCCCGCTAGTGAATCTTGCCTGTTACCCGACGACAGTTACGCGTCGTTTGCTAATGTTACAGATTGAAGTTCCTCGTGTGAACGTCGAAAATCTCATTCCTCCATCCGTCGCGCTCATTCTCCCTAATTCTGTCCTTCGCCTGTGCAGCCTCTTCGTTCCACAGCTTGACAATGCTGCCGGGAGCATAGACGCCCTTGAACACACCCCGTCCTGGCTGCACGACGCCGACGCGAGTATATAGGTCTGGGTCTTCAGCCGGAACGAGTCGAGCAGCTACAGCCTTGATGAAAGTCCATAGGTCATCTGGATCAGCAATGCGCGTCGCACGGAGCCTTTCTCTAGCGTAAAGCAGCTCCCGGTTCGCAAAGTGCAGCAGTTCTCCGATTGCCGCAGCCATTTGGATCTCCAGAGCCTTCCGGATGATGGGCCGAAGAAGCGGCTTCAAGAGCCAAGCGCAGAACGCAAACTTGCTCTTGCGTAGGGTGTAGTTGAGCTTGTGGATGTGGACCCGAACACCACGAAGGGTCAGGATATTCTCCAACCGCTCCTTGCCAATCTCGACGTCGATGTGAACATCTATGCCACGCTCATCCAGCTGGAAAGACGCGATTCCTTGATCAGCCAGTCGGAACAGACCGCTATGAGCTCGCAGCCAGAATCCGATCTCGTCTGCTCGGATAGACATCCCGTCAATCTTGATTGTTGTTACGGACTGCACGGTAGAGGTCGTTCGGAAACGCGCCTTCCGGATCTCCAAATCATTGCGCGTCTCTACACGCAACCTATAGGGTAGAAATGAGGTGTTGTTCACGGTGACCCCAGGCTCGAGAATGAGATTTTCGAGCAGGAGATCCACATCGGGTGTGGAAACCTCGAGTCTTGGTATCGGTACGTATTGGATCGCTTGAATAATCATCGGCACAAAGACGTTGATGGCATCGGCTACGAGTTCTCCGTTGGTGTACTGATGCGCCGGCGACAAGAGTTTTGCGATCCTGGTAGATGTGACAATGAGTTTGGCAATATCCTTGTCTCGGAGCACGGATTGGATCGTTGATTGCAGCTTAGCCAGCAGTCCATCAATATCATCTCTCAGAGGCGAGTCAGATGCAAGTCGGCGAGACTGCGCACGCAAACTCTGGAACCTCTCCTCAGCATGGTCGAAAAAACTAGGGTCGGTGAGTAGATCCTGGACAGCATTTCCTGTCTGGCGGACGAGTTCATCAAACTGAGGATCGCTTTTCCCATGCTCCACGACCTGCTTGAACCGACTTTCGAGTTCTTGCCATTCCTTCGCGTCGCCGAATGACTTGACAAAAGTCCAGAAATTCCGCACAGCCCGCTCCGTCTCGGGATTCGTATCCACATCTTGTTCCGCAGTCTGCACTGCATCCTCGACAACATGAGAGTATACCAATGCGTATCGTTGGAGAAGAAGGGAGAGAGTTGATACGGAGTCAGAGTAGTCCTGTCGTTTCCTAAGCTTGATGACCGCCTGCTTCAATCGGTTCAGAAGAGTGTCCTTCTCGTCGCCAGTGATTTTGTCGACGAAGCTATGTTCGGCTTCCTGTGCAACTTTCGCGACACCCTCGGCGACCACAGACGTAACCTCCACCACATCGTTCCCGAGTTCTTGGCTCGACGGAGCCGGCTGTGCATCCGCGCCCGGTTCTTTCAGAGCCTCTTGCTCTTCTTTGGGTGGTTCAAGCTGTTTCCCAGCCTGTGCCGACACCTCGGACAGTGTGAATGCAGTGTCTCTGAACACCTCTCGGCCGATCGTATTGAGGTCGGATAAGAAAATGCGAAAGTCCGAGTTCGTGAGGAGTAGGGAGCCTACAGTCTGAATACTCTTGTATGCTACCGGATTTGTCAGAAGGGCATATTGAGTGATGACACCGGCGATACGTACCTGCAGCGGTGTTGGCTTTCGCCTTGGCCTTTTTGGTCCGGTTCACGATGTCCTCCATGTCGATCGAGACGCGCGCTTTGGTGAGATACCACACAAAGTCCTGGATCTGGTCCTCGCTGTTCTTGTGCTGCAGCAACTCGATGAACTGCTTCAGCCATTCCTTGGTGTAGTAGACCAGCGCTCGGCCCGAGTCGCTGAGCTCTTCGTTGTCGGGATTGAGGACATCGGCGGCGAGCAGCGTGCGAAGGTTGATGATGGTCTGTTCATTTGAAGGCATGTAACCCTTGCCTAATGCCCGGAGCATTTGATATGTGTGGAGCTTCTGGTGCAGCTCCCGCTGAAGGACGGTGTCATCGCGATACTGGGGCAGCAGCGGCTCGCGGTCCTCGTCCCGCGCCTTGCGGAATCCAAAACACGAGGACAACATGGCGGCTAGATCCTGCTCTAGCGATGCTAGATACGAGGCCTTGTCGGTAAAATGTTGTCTGCTCGATTTGCTTCTCACATTCTCCGCTTTCTGTTGTCGATGAAAAAGTCTCACAGAATTGAGGGGTTGCTTGCCTGATGTAGTTTCGTCGTCACCGAGCTTTCGTGAAATGTAAAGATGACGTAGTAGACCAGAGCATGGATGGTCTGTGGGTTGCCTGTCAAGGTGAAAGACCGTCAGTGGGGTGCCCCGCCCATGGTCACTACATACAGTAGGTAAACCCAAGCTAACCCCGCGAGCCCGCCGCTCCCTCTAAGGAGAAGGCCCAAGGGCCTTTCGACGCTTGCAAGAGGAAATTGTCCAGCAGGCCAATGATCACTCAATCTTTGCCTGGACATACGGCTGGAATCTCATAGGTCTCTTTTCCCGTACCTTTGACAACAACGCCAGGTTATTTGCCACATCTCCAGTAGACTTCAGACACGGCGGATATATAATAAAGAATGAGAGCTTCAAATCGGCTGATCTTTCACATTACGCTATGACGAACCGGGGTCTTCAAATAGACTTGCTATTATGGCAACCGGTCTCCGACATGCCTATCGTATACGGGGCTTTGAATTGCTCATCATATCTACGATCAAAAAGTAGCCTTTTTTTACCCTTCGTTATCAGTAATGGCGTATCTCAGGAAATTGATATAGACCTGATTGATAGCCGGTTCACGAATATCGCAGTCTATATAAGAGACGAAAAAGTTCTGATTCATAACCATGTAATGAAACTTCAACCCGACATGGAAGAGGAGTCTCTGCGGTACGATGCAACAAGTAGATCATATATTGAAAATTAGCCGCATACATGAAAACACAGGAGAGAGATAAAGAGTGCTCAGAGACGTATGTAAGCATAGCACGACTGTGAGAGGTCGAAGCGCTCATGTCTCATTCGTGAGCACAAGCGATCGAGCAAAGTCTTTAAATCAAAATGTTCGTCTGAGCTGGAATGATGTGACATGTTCATCAATACGTAAGGGCAAAAGACGTGCCATGTTAACGTGCCACGATATCGTACCAAAGTTTACCAAATTTGAAGGGCTTGTTGACTAGAGATCTGAGCTATCGTTCTCAACCATGCTCTTCCGTTAGACCAAAATTGGAATGAATTGTAGTCCAGGTTTACAGTGTAGGTTGCAAGAATCATCTTGACCGGCATTGTTCCCGACCTGACCCGCACCAGTTTATGTGTTCTTTGGGTCAGGTGGCCACGCCTCTACTGAGCAACCTATACGCACTAGGGAGTTATCCAAGGTGTTGGCTTTCGTGTCATCAAATGGACGCCCGGATCTAGAAAACGCCGAGATTTATAGACCAACAAGAAAGTATAACTACTTCGTACCATACAGAGCGAAAGCCATTGGTACGAAGTTCGTTTCGTAGTGTCGTATCGGGTCAAGCGCTCGTTGCTAGGCTGGCTCGACCTTATATCGATAGCTTCAGAATTTTGCACCTACTAGACTTATTCTGATGGAGCCACTTTTAATTTCTCACACCATCGTACTGCATGGAACATTTGATGATTCAATGTGACGAACTGATATTATATATTACGATCTAAGCAAGGAACTCGAGTCGCGAGCCCAACTTTTCCAATCTAGATTCATACCGGAAGCGTCGCCATGCCCCTTTTGGCATACATGCTCAATCTCACACCCGCACCGCAGTACTCGCTCGAGTTACCCGGGCAAGTGAAGCTGCAGTCAGAACCGCTGACATTGGCACCCGGAGTGGCACCGGAGTTGCCCGCCCAGTTGAGCGTGTTTCCGCACCAACATTCACTGCCATACTCAATACCGGCATAGTTGTACATCCAGCACACTGCCAGGCACGACTCGATAGTCGCGCTCTTGGTGTCGTCGGAGACAAGGTTCGGTAGAAGACGTCCCGAAGATGGCTCTGATACACACGAGTAGAAGGTGAAGTTGACGTTGCCGTCGGAAAACACGGGCGGACCGGTGTAGACAGATGCAGCAGCGGAGGTGGATGATGAAGAGGACGCAACCGTGGATGATGACAGTACGCTTGAAGAGGCGACCAGAGACGTAAGGGAAGTCGGAGATGGCGCCGAGGTAGAGCTCGTCGAAGACAACGACGGAGCCAGGGAGCTAGAAGTCGATACCACGATAGAACTCGTAGAAAAGAGTGATGGAGTCGCAGAGCTCGAAGGAACCGCAACGGAGCTTGTGGAAGAGAGCGACGGAGCTATAGAGCTCGAGGTTATAACGAGTGACGATGATAATGATGTTGATGAGATTACACTTGAAGATGCAATGGAGACTATTGAAGAAGGCACCACGCTTGAGGATTGTTGAGTTGATGATGCTGATATAGCCGACGGGCTGGGAGCAGCAAGACCGATTTGAGTTGAGGAAGCGATGGATGATGAGGCTGGACTAGATGTTGAAGCTTCGCTCGTTGATGAAGCTACACTCAATGACGGAGCTTCGCTTGACGATGCAACCTGACTGGATGACAGAATAGTGCTCGTGGCGAGGTTCTCAGTGCTACTGATAACCTGGCTTGGTGTACTGGTGGCGGCGGCGGTGGCTGTTGATTGAGCAGAAGAAACAGCGGATGATGGGGATGAGTCTCCCAACTTGTAGAGGTTCAGTCTCGAACTGCCACCGCAGTACTCCGAGTCGTCTCCCGCACAGAGGAAGTCGCAATCCGAAGTATCGTCCGCAAGAACGCTTCCATTGTTGATAACATTCCCACAGTAGCCTATTGGGAATGGTCAGATAATATCTCATTTATCGAAGGCAGGTCAACTTACATTCACGTCCGTACTCGGCTCCGAAGTATGTGTAACCATCACAGAACGCAGCGCAAGACTCTAGAGTCATGGAATCATCTGCATAGCTGCTGCTAGACAAGGCGCGACTGCTAGTAGCCTCTGTGTAGCAGCCCTGGAATCCATAACTGCCGACAGCAGCCTTGTTTGTAGGGCCAGTTGAGCCGCCAGGAGTCGTACCGTTCTTCGCGTAAAGGTTCAGTCGGGAGCTGCCACCACAGTATTCTGTAGTATTGCCTGTGCAAGCCATGTTGCAGTCGGTCAGGTTCACCTGTGTGGCCTTGGAGTTGAGAGTGTTTCCACACCAGCACTATTTTCATGTTAGTATGTTGTATCTTTTCGACGGCAACGGATAACTCACCTCGCCACCATACTCTAGACCGAGATACTTGTAAGAGGAGCATGCCTCGACACAAGATGCGACAGTCTTGTTTTCAGTCGTGACGAGAGAAGACAATGCTCTGCCACCACTAGGCTCGGCGTAACATCCGTAGCTGAAGAAGCCATCGACACCCGGGTTGGTAACAAGGGTGGAACCAGAGCCGGAGCCATCACCATCGCCGGCTCCGTCGCCATCTCCGCCCCCAGTTGGAGCATCATCTGTCGCAAACAGTGAGATGAAAGCACCTCCAGCATCATCACCAACGCCATTGCCTCCGCAGACTTGGTTGATATCGCCAGAGCATGCATAGTTGCAGTCATCGTCATCGACCTCAAGAGTTGGGATTGTGTTTCCACCCCAGCACTCTCTTTGATATTGGGTACCACAGTAAGCATATCCGGCATCAGCGCAAGCAGCAATACACATGGCATTGGTGTTCGCATCGTCGCCGTATAGCTGCGTTGTAAGCTGACGGCCGGGGTTGTTCTCCTTGTAGCAGCCAATGTAGCGGTACTCACCCTGGCCATCAGCCCGGAGTGGAGGTGCCTGCTCAGATACAGCCGTGCAAGCGAATTGCATGTACTGCTTGCTGAAGTCGGGATCATTGGTGTTCATCGTCCATTGAGCGGTACCAAGATAAGGATCGACGTTCCATTGCGACTTGGGCACAGAGCAGTACAAAGTAGCGGTCGCGCTCTCACCGGGGCCGAGCTCAGTTCCTTCGGCGAGGTCGACTTGGTTGGCGGCACCAATAATGCCACTCACGCCAAAAGGAGGCTTCGAGACAGTAACTGAAAGCGTGACGGCATTGTCTCCACCGGCATTGGTCAGACGCAACTTAAGAGATCGGGTCGTGTTCTCGGTGACATTGCCGAAAGTGAAGTTCGTGCCGGACTCATAAGTCACCCAGCCAGTACCGTCAGGGGTCTGGAATTCAAGTTTGGCAACGGGCGCTGGGCCAGATGAACCTGTAACTGTTAGGTTCTTTTTTCCGCCATCCGATTCAACCACAACATAGACTGTGGAATTTCCATCCTCGGTAGGATTGAAGTTGACAGTGACAGTCGAATCAGTGTTTGCGGCAATTGTGGCAGGGAGATTCTTGAAAGTGAACGACCCGACTTGAGGTCCATCCGAAGTTGTCGTTGGATCAACGAACGGGCCAGTGAAGCCAGTTGTTGAGTACTGTATGCTTGAGATGGTCAAATCATTGTTACCTTGATTCGTGAACAGAACAGACTGGTCAGTTCCACTGTCAGATGACCCAGTGATGACCTTACTAAATGTCAATGTCGTAGGGGAGATCGCAAGAAGAGGGTCCTCGCTCTGGCCGGTACCAGTCAAGCGGACATTCGTGACGACACTATAGCCAGACTCGGTGTTCGTAGTATCAATGACAACGCTATCGGAGAGCAAGCCAATGGTGCTGGGGTCGAAGTAGCCTTTGAAGCTGAAACCGGCACCAGCTGCCAATGTAAGCGGAACAGTCGGCAGGCTGGAGACCCCAAAGTCGGTGGAGTTCAGATCAACAGCGGTAACCGTAACACCAATCTTGGCCGTACATGTAATTGTTGTCTCAGCAGTAGCTGTGTCGATATCTGAAGTTCCAAAGTCGATCGGAGTGGTGCAGTTCAGAGGTGAGTTGGTCGGCGCACCGAAACCATAAACATAGCCTTGGGTTGTGCCCTGGTACACAATACCATCTCCAAAGACGGCACGCGTGAACTTGGTGGTGCCGGGGACGGAGAAAGATTTGATCAATGTCATATAACCATTCTCAGGAATTGCCTTGTAAATGCGCAGGTTGTCTCCCTGTACATCAGTGGTCCACACAAGACCTGTTCCAGCTTGACCATCTAGGGATGTGACAGTACCATGGCTGACACCAAGAATGCCAGCATTGCTTGCAGGGCTGTCCGCTACCTTGGTGAAGGAAGGCACGCCATTAGTGCAAGAGAATTGGAATACGTGGCTTGGATAATTGATGACTGTTTTGCCGTAAGAGTATGTTCAATAGTATGCCGAAGAATGTCACTTACCATTGATGTAGATGTACCCACCCTCCAGCGGATAAACACCGGCACCAGCATAGACAGAGTTCTCATTCTGATAAGTTTGTATCACAGCATCTTGAGCGTTTGCGCCGTTCTTATATCCGCCCATATCGTCAAGGTTGATCCAGTATGTTTTTCCGCTCTTACCAGTAACCACGCCAATACGTGTGTACTCTCCGCAGGCGAACTCGCTGGGAAGGATCTCCAAGGGGCTGGTTCCAAGATCTTTATCGGCACCATCGAGGGCTTGTTTCTCATACGGCATAAAGAAGTCGACAATTGTCAAACTACCGTCATCGTTGATTGTCATGTGCACTGCCGCCTCTTCGAGAGATGTCGGTGGGTCGCGGCCGTTCACAGGAACGTCCGCAAGCTGTGAAGCATAGCCGTTTCCGGTTGCGAAATACATTGAGCCAGCATCATCGGAAGCCAGACCACCGCCCGACATCCACACACCGCCACCAGGAGTGGTGTTGGGGACACCCTGACCTTCCGTGGCCCAACGCTCGACAATGGCTCCAGTTGTCTTATCCCAGCCCATGATCCAACCAGTAAAGTTATATTGGACGCAGTGTGATGCAAAGCCAGCGTAGATGTACTGGCCTGAGTGCAGCAGAGCTGGTCGCTGGTGATGGATACCGCCATTGAAGCTTCGGATAGGGTTATTTCGGGCGACAGTTCCTTCAAGGTCGACGGGGAAGTTCTCGCGCTCTGTAAGATCGTTGACATCAATAGCATGGAAGTAGTATCGTCCAGCAGGTCGGCCTTGAGCCGCGGTGCCACCCTCTTGATTCTCGTAGGTCTTGGATGTGAGATAAAGAGTGTCTGTGTCCGGGTCGATAACTCCAGTAGAAGTGACTCCCACGAGAGGGTTAATGTCGACACAACCATCCAAATCAGCAGTCAGGAAGGGAATATGTAGATTCCTTGAGGCCACGATCTCGCCGGTCTTCGCGTCCAGCTTGTAGACATTGTTCTGTGTCGTGGCAAAGTATACATACTGTGTCCCGTCTCCTCCGCTTGGGGTGTACACCAGCGGTTGAGAGAAGATCTGCTCGTTAGCACCGTTGTAGCTGCCCGGGAGCCGAGTCTTGAACAGTTGCGCAAACTGGTCGCTTGCGACGACCTCCGGGTCCATATTATGGTTTCTGAATCCTCCATTAGACGATCGACAACAACACGGACCACAAGCTGGGTCAACATCAACCCATCCTATTACTTACGTCTGATACCCTGCCCTGGAATTATCTCCACCCCAAGTGATGGTGTCGGTATCCGCCAGGCCGGTGACACTGCCGACGAAGGTCGACAGCATCATGGCCGCGGCCGTGAGCACCGCCATTCTGGACATGATGCCGTGTCTTGGCACGGCGAACGAGTGTGTGTCCGGAAGTGTCGTCGTGAACGAGTTGCATCACCAGGGCCGCTCGAGGAAAGCGGCTCCCCCGATCTGATAAAAGAGAGCGATCCGATCATGGTGGCTCTCTTGGCACTCAAGCTTTCCCATGTCGTGCAACCCAGTTGAACCCACCGGGGACCCTCGTGGCACATCTCAAGGACGGCCATCCTTCCAGCGTTGCGCTAGAGGAATACGAGCCCTGGTCATTGAAGTTCATCCTTGCCCCATTAATGGCGATCATCGCTGCGAGTGGCAGCAGCATCCTTGCCCCTGGTACCTGGGCGTCTGGGGTATACCCGGTCTGGGCTTGGCGGTGCGTCTTAGCCTCCCCCTTAGTGTTATTCGATTTTTCCACAAAAGGGGCAAGGCTGCTCGGCGACAGGCGACCGTGACGTACGCCGTAGCATCCGGAAATTAGCACTTTTCACGTTGATGGGTGCAAGTGGGCTTCTGGTTCGGCACCATCGGCACCGCCAGTGTGCATTGGGGGCGCCTACTACACAGTAGTCTCGCTAGTTATCGATAAATGAACATCAGCGTGCCCAGGCGTCTCCAATGCCCCATCCGCGGGCTCACAATGGTGGCCGCTCCATCGCGACCTGCTAGCCGTTAGCACAACGTGCACAGCCAAAGAGGGCTCGAGGCGTGCCGTTCGAGCACGCGCGAGCTAAATTACTGTGGCTTGTGGCTGGCTGGGGACCAGTGTCTGACTACGTAATGTGAAGAGACCTCGAATCACAGCATTGAGACGAAACACGCCGCTACTCGATCTATTTGCGCATTTATTTTTCGTTCTGGAGAGGGTTACGTCCCCTGAGAACACCCGCCGAGCTGAAAAGAACGTGGACTGTAGCACAGGAGAGCATACACACGTGAGCCAGACTCCCTCCAGCAAGCACTTGGCCGCAAAACACCAAGAAATCCCAAGAGTTTTCCAAGACAAAACCCCCACCTGGCCACCGGAGCATCTTTGTGCGGTAGACACACTATTCTGCAGTAGCGGTAGGTCTATTGACGATCTACACGACCACTGCCCCTCATGGCCGCGTTGCGCTGTAGCCATAGTATGTATCATGCAGTTGAGGATGGTTCGATGATACCACATCTGTCTGCACCTATCGCCTTCCAGACTTGATAGAAGTTCATCTTGTTGAGACTTGACAGCCAGTCTATCTATCTTTTCACCGGTTAGGGGAGGCCGACTCGCCTGGGCCACGCGGCGACCACAAAGTATTTCCGTACCCCGCCCGGCCCGGTTGGTCCCGTTCTCATACAACGAGACAGCACGTTGTCCTCACGACAAGGTGGCTCCAAGAGAGAGAAAAGTCTAGCCAAGTATGGTATTCGGAGAAAGGTCTTGCTCCATCGACACGCTCCATTCCATCTTTCTGAACAAACGCTACCGGACTTTTTTTAAAGTTCGCTAAGCATATTTGGAAGCTAGAATGGAGCAGTGAAATGGCAATGTCGCTTCACCCAGGTTTCCAGGATGGTGAAATGCTAGCAAAGGAGTATCCACTGACCCTCTTCACCAAAAGTCCATGTCCCTGTCCTGCGTGATAGAGCACCTGCAGGCTGCATCTGGTCGAGCACACGTTCGTTGCAGTCTATGGTCGATCCTTTCTATTTTTACTTTACTCTACATATGTAGCCGAATAGAGCGACTGAAGTGGCATGATTATCAGCCAGTGCAGTGTGGTTACCCTGAGATTCCGATGATGGCAGACATGTTGAGACGTGCTTGACGTTGTTATCTTACTTTTTCAATCTCTCAAGCGAAGGATTCATGTACCCGACCCTCAATTACTAGCACAGCCATCGCTGTGGAGTCACACACATACACATGCTCCGGGTTACACTGCTAGGTACCGCCTTTATGAATAAACGAGCGTCTTATTTGTATTGAAAAGCAGAAGTAATATGGGCGCTCTTGACCTAAGGATTGAAAGAAATCCAGGTTGTCTGAATTATGAGCATCATCCCAGTGTTTTAAAGAACGTCAGGTCTGGCAATCCTGCAATGTTAGCCAGAGATAGCAAATTGCCCAAGATTATACAACCTATGGGCGCCGATGAGAGCAGAAAGAAAATGTTAAAACGACATCAGAGACGACGCTTCAAAGCTAAGCCGAAAGCTTGCTATTCAATTTAGCATGCAAGCTCAGTACCCGGGTCAGCAGAACACGTGGTACAGTACGCCGTGCAACAGTCTCGGGTTCTTGCCGAGACGAGACGCCGAGATGACGAAGGTTAGACAACGCTCCCATTATCGTCACCGACAATTTTCGCGGCTCCGATTCCGTAGTGGCGCTTGATGGCTTTCCACATCTCGACGATGGCAACGTACACGACCACTGAACCAGCCACAAGACCCCACTCCCAGCCGATTCCTCCGTGTTTAAAGACTTCGTGGTCCACGAACGGCAAGTACACGACTGGAAAGACGATGATGAAACCGGCGGTCTGCGCACCGAAGAGGAACTTATTTTGCCATACAGTTCGGAACACCGAGAAAGGGCCACGGTATGCTTCAGGGTGCATGTTGAACAACGAGCGGGTGAAATGCTTGCATTCCCATGCTGTGATCAACAACAAGAAGGTAAGAGTGGCGTATGTAGCCGCCCGAGCACGGAAGACGATTCGGCAGGAATCATTCCACCCCTCGTTGCAGTCATCACCGAGAAATTCGGGTCCGGATACGCCGTACACGACACTCGTAAACGTAGCCAGGCACAAACAACCCATAGCAGTACCGTAGACAAACTTGTCTGTGATTAGTTCACGTGTGAACACACCAACCCGGAGGTCATGGGGAGGGCGTCGCATAACATCAGGCTGTGCATCTTCTAGACCCAATCCAAGCGCCAGGAACGAAGATGTTACTAGATTAGCCCAAAGAATCTCGATAGGCGACAACGGAAACACAGAAGCGCCAGAGTGGTCCTTGAATGCCAAGCCAACCAGGAGGAGGATGACTTGCGCGATGTTCGAAATGAGGAGGTGTAGAAGAAACTATACGGATACGTGTTAGCAGGATGTGATGATTACTACCGCTTCAATATGCTCAGCACAACGAGGCACTGATAGCACTGCGCCTTTACCTTCTGGATATTGTCGAACAGTCTCCTTCCTTCCTCGACAGCGGTGACTATCGAGGCGAAGTTGTCGTCAGTGAGGACCATATCTGCGGCCTCTTTTGCCACATCACTGCCATTAAGACCCATTGCAATACCAACATCGGACTTCTTCAGGGCTGGTGAGTCGTTTACACCATCACCTGTCATGACACAGAAAGCTCTTCTGCGGTGCATGGCCTCGACCATGCGAACCTTGGTCGAAGGACTGCATCGAGCTAAAACTAGAGGTAGGTATTCCATGGCGTCAATCTCGGCGTTTGTGAGAGCGTCGAAAGCACTAGCTTGCATGATAGCAGTGCTGCCTTGCGTCGAAGCTATGTCTCCCTTCAGAATACCGACCTCCTTAGCGATAGCCGTTGCTGTCTTGACATGGTCTCCTGTAAGCATATGGACAGTGATACCAGCCAGTTGGCATTTCTGTACAGCAGGCGCGCTTTCAACGCGTGGTGGATCGTAAAGGCCGGCGAGGCCAACAAAGTCAAGGTCGCGTTCGGCCTTGTCTCGCTCGTCCAGCCGGTCCGAGGTTGCTGAGCGTCTTGCCACGCAAAGAACTCTCAATCCTTCAGCGGCAAGTCGGTCTGCTCTCAAATTAATCTCAGTTCGCTTCTCGTCTGAGACATTGAGGAATGGTAGGATAGCTTCGATGGCGCCTTTCGTATATGCCGAAAGTTGCGAACTGCTCTGTCCACCATAAACCACTGTCATTCTCTTGCATGACGAATCAAATGGGAACTCCGATACCAGGTGAATGTCCTCAGTATTGAGCAAGTCCAGTTTTCCCATTCCAAAGCGTGTAGAGAATACCTGCAGGGCAATTTCTGTCGGTTCACCAAGTCCACTCCAGGCACCTCTTTCATCTTGAGCGACGGCCGCATTGTTGCAAAGCGCGATGGTTTCCAGGAAGACTTTGAAAGTTGGGGACTCCACAGCAAAGTTTGACTCCAACTGAGCTTTTCTATTACTCGACAGTGGTTCTCCATTCCAGTGTATTGTGCCGCTAGTAGGATCGAATGGATGCGTTGAGTTATGCACTGAGACCTCGGTCCCATCGCAGAGCCACACCTTTTTAGCGATCATCTTTCCTTGGGTTAGAGTGCCAGTTTTGTCAGAGCAGATGTTCGTGACACCGCCAACTGCTTCAAGAGCCGCCAATTTTCGCACAATGACGTTTCCCCTGGCCATGGCTTTAGTCCCTAATGCCGTCGCAATAGTCAAGACCGCAATCAAGGACTCAGGAATAACGGCCACTGCAACGCAAATGCCATAAATAAGGACCTCGTCATTGACCCTAAAACGACTGACCGAGAAAACAATGATCGCAAGTGTAATGGCAAGCGCAAAGAGCAGCAAAGCGAACTTGCTTAGAGAAATCTGGAGGGGAGTGCCGTCAAGACCGAGGAGAACCCGAACCTTCTCTTTGAAGTGGAAGACAAACTTAGCAAATCCTGTTTTGCCTTCACCGCTCCTCTTGGCTTGCCTTAAGAGATGTGCAATCTTGCCAACCTCGGTAGCCATGGCTGTAGCTGTGACAATGCCAGTCGCTCGTCCTCGGGTTACTGTGCTGGCCGAGTAGACCATGTTGGTGCGGTCTCCGAGGGGCACATCTTGCTCGTGCAGGATGCGCTCTGAATGCTTACTCACGGGGAGAGACTCGCCAGTCAGGAGCGCCTCATCTGTAGACATATTGATGCTGTCGGCTAAGCGTAGATCGGCCGGGATTACATCGCCGACCCCCAGCATAACAATGTCACCAACAACAAGGCTTTCCGCTTTGATGGTCTCGGTTCGACTATCTCTGATGACTTTGCACGTAGGGGCAGACAGAGCATAAAGTGCCTGAATGGTTTGTTCCGCGCGATAGTCTTGGATGAATCCCACAACAATGTTGAGGAGGATCACAGCGCATATGATTGCGCCTTCGATGTGATCGTTTATGGCGAACGACAATATTGCCGTGATAACAAGAACCTACAAATCAGATTCACGTACACGAGGTTGAATCTTCACTTCACTTACAAGCGTCAAGCTATTCGAGACCTGTCTCAAGAGAATCGTCCAAAGCGATACGCCTTTAGCTCCCTCCACCTTATTCGGTCCATCCTTCTGGAGGCGATTTGTAGCTTCGATGTTGGAGAGGCCATCTCTGTGATGTAGGGTTTAGTAATGGGCCATCCTAGCGAACTACAGCAGAATACAACATACTTGATATCGGTATTGAGAAATGCACAGATGTCGCTGGCAGGAAATGTATGGGCTGACTCCGGGGCAAAAGCAACACTCAATCGCAAAGTTGATGCTTTCTCGGATTCCACCTCAAGCGTAGTGGGGGGACTCTTGAGGCCACATATAGGAGGCTCCGTTTGGCCCTCGACCGTAGATTCGTCTTCGTTGCCCATTCAATATGGAGTTGCCGCAAGTGTGCAATCGTTGTGAACAGACCGGGCCACGTATCCGGTGCGGTACGGCCCCTCTTCTTATAATACCCCGCCTCAATGTCGTGACGCAAGATGTACCAGCTGCGCTTATCTGCAAGCGGTCATCTGCGGCTTGGCCGGGGCGGTGACTGGCCTGTAACAGAATTCCGGAGCTGCGAGCCAAGATCTCGGCGGTCTTATCACCGGTAACAATGTGTTCAGTATCTTGCCCAGGAGCGGGGGTCTAGTGGCAGTGCACTACTTGGCGGTCTTAACCGCGCGATTCTGCTACTAAATTCTTGTCACCTGCTGTATTCGTTTTCCTTCACGTCGTCAAATTCTTGTGACTGCCAGTATCCCCGGTTTCTTGTGTCAGTAGAATGGGAATGAAAAGCTCTCATTCTGGAATCAGGATGTAATCTATGCAAGCTATAAGGTGATAATGTTTGAGAGTACATACTTGCATGACGCAAGTGGTAGAGTGAGTCGCCAAGAAAGTGCCAATGTCTGAGCGAGTCATGGTGGCCAAACAACTAGGCTTTGCCATCTTCCAAGCCTGCGACTAACCAGCACCATACACAAGGGCATTTTTGTGTTCGACGATCACGCGATCCGAGAGCTTGCTCACAAACGAATGATGTGACGCGTTCTGCTATTCATTTCCTGCTGAGATGAGTATTGAAGTGAATCATTTCTTGTTCGAAATTACTAGGAGATGGGCCAATGTTGAAAGTAATGGGATATTAATAAAAGAAAATGCAGAATCTTCTTGAAATATCCGGCTGTTTGAACTCAGACTAAAATGTACTTGAATCTCTGCATTCTCAATATTGGGAAGATTATATAGGTCTTGATTGCTCTACGGGCCTTTGCACTGGATTATAAATCAGATGCACAAATATGTAGTTCTTGCCCCATGCACGCTATTCTTAAAGCCTAGATTCGCATCGAGGCAACAGTTTTAACGCTCAGATTCACTTCTAAGAAGTCTGAAATTGGTGCTCCAATGTCTCTAGTGAAATGTAGTATATATAGCTGCTAGCCACTTTATAAAGCGTTGACCCAGTCAGAGCTCTCCTTCACCCTAATTTGACGTCAAATTTTCCAGCTGAAACTTGCTTGTGGGCCTCAATGGCAGACCTGACTTGCTGTATGCCATATCGATCATGTTCGCCTGCGCGAGGCTATCGTTGCTGCTGACCATAACCCTGAACCTGCTCTGCCACGAATATGGTTGACGAATTGCTCTAGTTGATGACCGTAAGATGTCCAGGAAGGCTCGCTTGGCTGATCAATACCAGCGTCCTTGAATGTGAATACTTTCCGAGACTCCTTTCTTGTCCATCGCTTCACGATATCACCACTCTCGGTGTTCCTGACGATGAACACATCTTCAATTTGGATACAATGATAGACAGCTGCTACGAGAAAGTTATTCAACGTGAGCCTGCGGGTTTGGAACTTCTTCTCTCCCGGTCGAGGCTTGCTATCCTCTACTGGGATCTCTTCGTAAACGACTGTGACCTTGAAGGTGGGCAAAGTGAATACGCTTGCCCGCAGATCCATACATACTTCGCCAACGACACCACAGCGGAAGGTTGCCTCAGCAGCTTCATCGCACAAGTCGTATGGGGGTGGAGGAAGTCGAACAGTACATTTAGTACATTCTTCGGGCTCGGCACCCGTGACTTGCCGTAGGACATACATCACGTGTGTGCCGAGATCAAGCATGTTGCCACCTCCCAAATTATAATCAAAACGAATTCCGCTCTGAGGGATCATGTAAGAAGGCAGCTTTGCGACAGAGGTAATAAGCTCTAGGTTAGGACGCTCGACCAAGGAAAAGCTTGCCACGTTGGCTGAAATCGATAGTGAATAGCCTCTAACAGCACTGAAGCGTTGGGCTTCTGCAGTAACGGAGACCGAAATAATGCTTCAACCTCTATCGCGTTGACTACTGCAGGCTTTTCTAAGAGGACATGCTTTCCCTTGGCGAGGGCTTTCAAAACCCACTCGTAGTGTAGACCGGATGGTAACGCGATATAGATAGCATCGATTGATGGTTCGCTGAGCATAGCTGGAGATACGTGGTTTAGGAACTTCCCAGAGTTTGTGCCCAACAAATGACGGGCTTTATTGCAGAAAATGTGGGGTATCCCGTGCTTTTTGGCCTACGCTTCTGCCTTACCCTTGTCTCGAGCCGGTACAGCTTGGATAAACACTTCTGGGTGCGATTTGGAAGGTTGTATCAAAGCTGTTGGCCTACATGCATGCAGATTAGCATCTGAGACAGATTGTGAGTGTGTAACTTACACGACATTGGCGGCCCCAAGGATGCCAAATCTCAGGGCATTTGGGTCTTTGGGAGGCTGAGGCGAGAATGAAATTTGCCAATTGCGAAAGGCAAAATCAAGTATAGAAGCCATCTAGGAATTGAGAATTTGTTAACACCTGTCTCAATCCCTTGACGTTTTCTTTTTCCAGTCTTGGAATGGACTTTACAAATCAACTTCGTTGGCAATGTCTCTTGCACTCTTATTTATAACGGAATCGATAGGGGTACTAGTAGCCGTTGCGTATTAGTGTGGTTGGATTACATTTTTACCTTTTATGGCCTAGCGTGAAGTTGAGGCATGACTCTCGACAGTCGCTCTCTGTCTTTTTTAGTAATGCGAAAGTAAATTGCTCTTTCTGATGCTCACGAGCTCAACCACGAGCCTCATGTTCAGTCTTGATTTATCTGGTCCTAGGAAGCCGAACTCATCAATCTATATTCCCTGAATTTGCGCCCACCACTGATATTTGCTTCCAGCCAGAAGCATGAAGTACGCGTCACCATTGAGATCAATTTCCAGTGAATCCCCCACGGCTGGCGATGAAAGAAGGCAGCGAAAGCGCATACAGAATCGATTGAATCAGAGGTCTTTCCGTCGGTGCCTCCTGCTTCCATCTTCTGTTGGTCTCATTGATGAACTAATCGTTCTTGTTAGGACTCCGTAACCAAGACAAAGAGGCTCTCAGGGCTTCCGCGGTCAAGGCCAAGCATTGCCGATATCAAATTGATCGGTGGCGACTCGACGAAGAGGAGTATTTCGCACCGCAGATGACCAACCGCGGTGCGGTCTCAGAAAACGAACGTCACGTTGCTTCAAACCCTTTGGATACATCATTGATGACAACATGGTTTCCTTTACCAGCTGATCACTTACTTCATCTTATCAAGTACAATGTCTTTAGAGCGCTTGCCAAGAATAAAGCAATGCTTGAATGTTTGGCAGTTCAATACCACACAGCTAACCTACAAACACCAGCCGACCCCACGGTATTTCCCAGCTATTCGGTTATTTTGCCAGTGGCACCACATCTTCCTGGCTGCCTCATGCCAACGTCAATCCAAATGAATGTTGTTCATTCAACATGGATTAACCTTCTTCCCTTTCCAACAATGAGAGACAGTTTAATCGAGCGGGAATCTGAGTTTGGCCATTCAGATTTCATCAAAGACTTAGTTGGAGAGTTAATCAACCTACACATTTTCTCGTCGAAGCCAGTAACCTCAAGATCGACTAGAGTCAATGAAGGCATAGTTAAACAAAGACTCATTGATGAGAATCAGACCACCGATACATCAGCGGGTCTTGTTGTATGGGGAGAACCGTACAGAATAGATAGCTGGGAGGCGACCCCTGGGTTTTTGAGGAAGTGGGGATGGGCTGTGGGAGACTGTCATGAGTTAGTCACCTCAACCAACCGTTGGAGGGAATCGAGGGGTGAAGCGCCATTAGAAATCTCTATCGTTTCTATGAGACCTTAATGTAGGAGTCTTTAAGAAGACTTGTTACATACATTTCATGTCGTCATAATGTGTCAATGGAGCTACGCATACACTCTTTACCTGAACTGGACAATGCCTTCAAAAAGTTTACAGCGAGTATGTTGCAAACAATCGATACCTTTATAACTACATCTCACGTTCCACTTTCTTGAAAATACATTCAAGTTTTCCAGCTTTAAGAATCAACTGATTACTCGATTCAGTGAATATTCTTCTGCCGTCTTCTCCTGGGGCAAATTCAAAGTCGTAATACCAGACTGTATAAGCAAGCACAAGTCGAAGTACCGTGAGAGCTAACCGTCTTCCGACACAATTAAAGGGACCTAGGCCATGAATCTTAGGGAGCAACCCTCCGATGATGAGATAAATGGTGACTCACCTATTAAAAACGGATGAAAGGCTCGTTTGTCAATCACCAAGTCTGGTCTTGTTGTCCACCGTTCTGGGATGAATTCGTTGGGCTGTTTGAAATATTTGGGGCCTTGACACGCATTTATTGTCAGCATCCTTCTTTGATATTGCAAACAACAAGGCTTACTTCTATGCATTGCATGTATGCCAACAAAAACAGTAATGTTCCCAGGGATGTACTGCCCGTCCACAATAATGCCTTCTGGAGGAGTGCTTCTCGCGCCATTGTTGCATACTGAATTGTACATCCGCATGGTCTCATCAATGATAGAATTAAGGAGTGGCAAAGCACTTGCGTCATTTTGTGTAAATTCCGCCGGAATCGTTTTGCCGAATATGGTGGCCAACTCTTCTCGTAAACGTGCTCTTAATGATTCGTCTTTAGCAAGATAGTAAAAACAATGGGCCAGAGCTGCGGCTATAGTATCGGTCCCACCAATCATGATTGCCTGGGAGTCTGAGTATAAAACGTCCCGGTTGATGAAAGCCTGGGGCTTTTCAGCCTTGTAATCCTCGAGAAAATATTTCATGATATCCTCCTTATCCTCGCTGTCATTCTACGTTGAACATTAGCTTCAAATCGATTACAAGATTAAGCCAAGTAACCTTTTCTCGTTCATCAGCTATACGGCATGCAAGTCCTTCGAACTCTCTCTGCTCGGCGCTTAAGTCAAGGTCCTTGGATAATGCGATCGGCCAAGTCAACTGCCCAATATTTCCAATGGCTGCAAATGACACTTCAATCAAATGAAGCATTCGATCAGCATTTCCAGACTTGATGGTTCCAAAATCGGTGGAGTATCCCACTTTCCCCATGTTGTCAAAAGGGATAAGTAGGGAGTAATGAGATGTATCGATGGGATCGCTGCCAATTGATCTTATCTTGTCCAGCCAGCTGTGGCATATTTCGCGAGCATCTATCTCATATTTCTGCAGCGCTTCAAACGTAATCAGATTGATTCTTGGCTCTAAACATCAAGCTGATCAAATACCTTTGCCATTCATTGCTCGGTCCCAGACTTGACGACGCCATCGGTGCTCTTCCCTATTTAAAATCGAGTCGAGATTTTGGGCTCCATGGTAGTTCACGAAGTCATAAAATGTGTTCTTTTTGCTTGTCTTTGCTTGTGCTCCGTGGATCTTCTGCTGGGCATCTATGGATACTAATAAGAGCTCATTTGGTGCTAAATCTTGAGTAAGCAAGCGATTAAACATTCCGTCAGTGGAGCTGAATACCTATTCGAATGATGGAGCTCCCATATCTTTCGACCCATTTAGTCTGATGGATATGTAAATGCTTCGCGATCCAAACATTGTAGAGTTTGGAGATCTTTGCTGGGAATGGGCCCGGGAAGTGGCGAAGGGGGTGAAAGAAGATGCGGTAGATGATAATACTAGAGTAAAGTGTTACCAAGTATGAGGTAGCTATGGCCAAGGTATGTACAACGCCTTTAGCCAAGCCCCATCCTATGACGGACCCTATCAGGAGCAAGGATCCAGATACCACATGAAATACCAAAATTCCGACAGTTCGAGGCACTTTGTTATCGTGAATATAGTAAAGGAGGTGAGACGACACAGCAAACCCGGTGGCTATCAGGCAGCTCAATGCCAGGTTCTCCGTGGGTTGTCTGAACAGTCCAAGTAATTCCATTTTGTCTACTACGTGAGAAGAATCTGAAATCCGATGCAGCTGCTTACTCAAGTGACGGGCAAGGCCTCCTAAATAGGACATCTTTTATTGCCACTGAGTCTTACAATTTTTCATGTGACTGATCGTTGACCGCTTTGATCCGATGACACGCTCCATTGCACGACATGCTATTAAAACATTTTACCATGTTTGTGCCATCAGTACAACCAGATTCCACATCATCTTTTATGATTGTGGGGCATGAAAGGTTGTATTGGCCATTGGAATCACCCAAAGAAGCAAGAGGTGGTGACAGAGTCAACAGCCATTGGCCAGCTAGGATCAGGGGTAGTCATCTTGCTCCGGGGATCTCGCGATTTGAAGCCTCAACCATCGCCTATATTCCCGGGTTGCTCCCTACATTAGGTTTATTGCAATGACATAATTGGTTGAGAAAACCAATGGTGGTACCCATGTAAGTTATCAATGCCCGGTTACGACTACTGTGCATTAGCGCTCAGCACTCTTCGAACTGCCGAGGCCATCGCTTATTAATACCAAGTGGTCGGCATGCACAATCCCCTCGGTGCGGCCGCACTGCAGGGATGACCAGATACAATAAGCAGCTCGCTGAATGGGACCCGGAATCGGTCATAAATACAGTGGCCCTACGTGGCCGTTTCCTCGCCATGGAAACCAAGGATGGGCCGATACTGAGTAAAATATTTCAGTCATGGAGCTCTACTGTAATCTTGAAGATTCATATATCATGCTCGGACATTACTCTTTCCAGTGGCCAAGAATGCTAGGCTCTGGATAAAGCTATCAGCTCCGATACGGTTACAGCAGTCCAGAACCGGATCCGAGCCCACCTCTTCTGTGATCCATTATGACCTGACCCAATACCTTCGGCCATTTGTTTGGAAGTTTATTCAATTGCGCTCGCATCGAGTAATGCGAATCCTCGTTCAGACTAGTGCTGGTAATACTTCCGAGGCTGTGAAGACCAAGTGCAATTTGTGCCTGTAATCCAGGTATCGCTCGGCATCGTTTCCAACATGAAGGTCGTCAAATGCCCACGCCGTCTTCAGCATGTCAGTCACTTGGATCAGGGTGCTCGGCGACATGGATAAGATGAGGTCGCTGTGCAAGCCATGAACGAGTTCTTTCGCGGTGCCCGTCACGCGATCTATCAGATCCAAGACTTGCCTCCTCCTTACTTCCGTGGTAGCTTCAATACCAAGCACAAAGAGCGCGAACGGCAAGTTGCCCCTCTTCAAGGCGCTAAGGCCCATGACCTTGTCGTCGAAGACGTCTGCCAAGATTGACGTCACAATCGTGGACACTCCTGACAGATGTCGAGCCATGCGCATGAAGTAGATCCAGATTGCGCCAAGGAATAGTCTTCTTTGTATTACCACATTGATGGCTTCTTCGTCGCGCGGGTGAGAGGGTACTGCACGAGCATCGTTCTCAGCATTCATATAGGCCGTTGAAATTCGGGCCTCGAGGGCAGCTAATGTCTTCTGGTGGCGTTCTGAATGGTAACCTTGTTCTTCAGGTTCTTTAGCCATATCGATCACATCGGTCAGCAGCTGAACCTCCTCTGTCACACAGCCATTGAAATGAGGTAACTACATGAAGTAGGTAAATTAGTCATTCTGTGTACACTAGCATATTTAATGTTTCGGAACTCACGGTAAATACCCCACGACATTTAAAATTGACGATCTTGCCTTTGAACTCTACCTGGGTGCTTTCTAGTAGTGATCTTGGTCTTTTCCAGTGAATCAAGCTGAAGCAGGACATGCCATTATGATAGTGCACACATCGATAGAGTAGTCGGATGTCTGGATCTAATTCCGGTTTCTTTCCTTCATATGTACTCATTAACAGAGTATTGATGCCGCAGACAAAGAGACACCAAAGGGTGGTGGCGTTGACCGCAAGTGCTACCTATAGGAATGACGTTAATCTAAGCTGCCAAAGCCTGGTATAGGATTGTTTAGGAGAAAGTCGCACCTCCACTCGGCAAAGCAGAACGGCCGCTGCCATGTGTTGCATGGCCCTTGCATTTGTGAAGTTTCCTCTGCTCGCACATTGCTGGAGAGCGCTCAGTGCGGATGATTTCAACTCGATTGCTTTTTCCGGATGACTCTTGCAACGGTTAATGCATGCTAAAGACAGGAGCGAGTACAGAACGGCTCGCGATGAAGGACTGTCATCGGTAAGGGCCAGCTTCATCATAAGGTCTCGGAGATGGTTCGCTCTGCCATCGAAACTTGGCAATGTCGGGGAAACGACTGCGTAAACTAAGCAAATTGAGTCAGATTTTACTACTGAGCACAAATGAGTTAGACTGGCTACAGCTTACAATATGATAGGACTTTTGGTCCATCTTGAACGTCATATAGGATGGGGGGGAGAGAAGAAGGATGGTAGGGTATTTGACCGAGTTGCGGTGTAGTGCGATAGTTAATCAACCCTAATATCGAGCAATTGTCCTCTTAGTACAATGCATGGGACAAGAGCTGCGCTCCTGTAAGGCTGCTCACCTGACGATGTTATATCCAGCAAGGAGCGGTACGCTTCCATGTGCCAAGTGGACACATTCAAGAAATGTGCTTTCGCGAATCTCGATGCCTGAGATAATCGTGCAGACGCAGGTGCTACCATGAGACGGCGCCGGTCCTGCTTCTTGGGCCATGATAATCTAAACGACTCACGCACACACTTGCGCTGCGACCGACGGCAATTATTGCAGATGGGACCGTTTCGATCACATTTGATTCGGCGATCTGTTGTAGCAAAATGACAGCGTAGTCAGTCAATTGGCACCTTCCAGTATGTAATGCCGGCTTGGGTACCTTTACAAGTCCGACATCCCTTCCTCTCACTCAAAGTTGCCATGTTACCAAATCCGGTCTCGTACAGGACGGCAGCTGGGCTGGTGGTATCAAGGATTTCAAGGATTTCACTACTAGACGTGGAGATACTGGACACAACTGGATCCCGAATGAAGCAAAGGTGAGGCAAGAAAGTGCAATATCTTGCCTCGCCAGAAAATAGGCAACTTTGCTAGGAGCCGAGTGCAGGGCTTGTGTGATAAAAGTACCAATCGCCAGTAGGCTATTGGCTAAGCAGCGATGACAAAGCCTGGCTTCTCCACTCATTCTAGGAAGAATGGCAAGAATGCGCGAGGTCTTACACTGTCGACCAATCAGCGCACGCGAGCCAGTACCTCCGGCCAGACCTTGGATATTCTCGCCCCCGTCGGTCGCCGTGGTGGTTTCCCTGCTTAATCATCAGCCATCATATTTCCGAGGTGAACCCACATCACCGGTCTTGTAGATACTCTACAGTTGACACGACGGGAGCTACGGTTGCCGGCTGATCAATCTCGCAGAAAGTTACTCGTTTATAACGGTTCTAGGCTCGAGTGCAGTCGTGATGCTTATACAATGGTTCATGAGGGCAGATGAGAAAATGTCTATATATTTCAAGAGGGCGTAAGTTCGAATTGTAATGAAATATATTATTGAGCTTTCCAAAAAAAACCAAAAATATAAAAAAAATCAAGAATTAGGCATCGTCGCTCCGGAATTAACAAAAAAAAAACTTTGTCACTTGTCATCAAATGCCTTCTTACGCGGTGACAGGCGCAAACCGAGGCATCGGAGTATGTTGCTCTCGTATCTCGACCGGATTGACAACCTACATGTAACTAATTCCTTCCAATATAGTTTGCGTTGATTGATCAACTATCTGCGGATCCCACGAATGTCGTATTTGGCCTGGTACGAAGTGTTCAGGCTGCCCAGGAGAAGGTAACAAAGCAGTGGCCGGAAAGAAAGAATATCCACATTATTCATGGTGACCTGAGCGATCTTGCCTCCTTGGAAGTAAGTTGCTAAGTCACTGAGAAGTTTGTTTCATACTAACCACACCAAAGTCTGCCGCAAAATATGTATCAGCTACGACTGGTGGCGGCCTGGATGTTCTCATAGCTAATGCTGCTGCTGGAAATTTGGACTTCAAATTTATCGATGAGGAGTAGTACCATTTTGAGCATCTGACTTGTCCCAATAGAGAACTAATCAAAAGCAGTATTGCGGAAGATCGAGCAAGGTTCGATGCAGACATGTCATATCATTTCAATGTCAATGTCATCGGCAACATTCATCTGATCAACTTATTTGTTCCTCTGATCAAGCGCGGAGGCCTCAAAAAGATTCTTGTGGTATCTTCAGGAATGGGTGATCCGAACTTTGTTGTGGAGGAGAATGTTAAAATGCAAACACCATACGCCGTCTCTAAAGCTGCACTTAACATGGCAGTTGCCAAATATCACGTCCAGTACAAAAGTGAGGGCATCTTGATCATGGCTATATCACCCGGCTTAGTTGAGACTGGGGGATATGATTCATTTGAAAGTTTGTCTGCCATTGCTCTGATAATTAAGTCTTTCAATCTAACTGGAGGAAAGAAACCCCAAAGTTCTTTGCAGATTTCGAAGCGATGGGTGCTATAATGAAGAACTATGCTGAGCCAGACTTTAAGGGGCCTATTACTCCTGAAGAGTCCGCCAAGTTGGTATTGGGAGTAGTGAACAAGGCTACAATCGAGGAGAACGGAGGGAAGATGATCTCTCACCTTGGCACTTGGAGATGGTTGTAAATGAGATAATGGAGTAATCAATTCATTAGACAATTTTTTTGGGTTTGAGAGAAGAGGACTATGACATAACGTGAACTACGCAGAAACATTGGGAAACGAGAAAAGACAAAGAAACTGTATTGGAGATGTGGACGGAACTTGCCTGAGACTCGCAAGAATATGATCATGACAATGCTCCTAGTGCACGGTTTCCATAATCTAGCGCAGGCTAGGCAATCACGAGGGTGAGAAAAGTCCGGAGATGATACACAAGCTACCAGAATCCAAAACCAGCATTCGGAAGCTATGAAAGACCCAAAATATCAATAAGGCCAGGGGTTGCATTCAGCCTGAATCCGGTCCCGCATCTGTGCCACCGCTGGTCTCCCCGCATTGAGGCGTACCGGGCACTAGGAACTGCAAAGTCTATCGAAATGATACGCTACCCGGTTTTTGGACCGCACAGACGTCAGATTCAAGCATTGAATGCTGCCTCTCCGAGCCTCCATGACTTGGACTAGGTGGCAAGGTCCAGACGACAGCCGGCTATACGTGGTACAATACCAAGAATTTGCAGGGTTCAGGCACTGAGATTCCACCAAGTAGAACAATAACCATGAATTCAACGATCTACTAAAGACCGATGTCACTCCTCATGTCTCGCACTGGTGACTTCGTGATGTTGAGAACTTTGACTTTACCCGGTTCAGCAGGCTGAGGACGTGGCTTGGGATAGGAGGCAGGCCAGTTGAATGTGAACCCGGCCGTCCTAGATCACGGAGGAGTGGAATGTAACCGGAGTGCAATTCCGCAAGGATAGTGGGCTTTGAGGAAGTCAGAAGATTTGACATTGAAGGGTGACATCAATTTACAGTTCAAAGCACTGGGGGTATATAACACAAGTCAGATTCTTTTCTCTCACGTCTGCTTATCTCCAGAGCAAACAAATAACATAAGTCTTTTCAACACGCCGAACCATTGAATATGTGGCCGAGCCCAAAAACCGCGTTCCTCCTTCTAGCCCATTCGCTCCTGAGCGGCGCGTCGCCCGTCGAGCTTGATGAACGCCAGTCATGCCCTGACATTCACGTCTTTGGTGCCAGAGAGACAACAGCATCTCCCGGATACGGATCATCAATCACCGTCGTCAACCTAATCCTCAATTCTCATCCAGGAGCTACGTCGGAGTCCATCACCTATCCTGCCTGTGGAGGCCAGAGCTCTTGTGGCAGCATTAGCTATGCCAACTCTGCAAATACGGGTATTACCGCTGTGGCGTCGGCGGTGAATAGCTTCAATAGCAGATGTCCCAACACGCAACTTGTGCTTGTGGGCTACTCGCAGGTAAGTTCAGTAATCCATGGATCTTCGCGCATTCAATGCTGACCTTCCATCACAGGGAGGCCAGATTATGGACGATGCTCTTTGTGGTGGTGGAGACACTGGTGCAGGTTACTCCAACACGGCGGTTCCCATCTCTGCTGCTGCCGTCAATATGATTAAGGCGGCGATCTTTATGGGTGATCCTCGGTTCATCGTTGGGCTTCCATACAATGTTGGAACGTGCAAAGCGCAAGGAGTAAGTCATACATCAGTCCCTTTGGCCTTTAGGAAACGAGTTGACATGTAGTTACAGTTCGATCCTCGTCCTTCAGGATTCAGCTGCCCATCCGCAAGCAAGATTCAGTCATACTGTGATGCTGCAGATCCCTACTGCTGCACTGGCAGTGATGCAAACACTCATCAGGGTTACGGTACTGAGTATGGTCAAGCTGCACTGAACTTCGTCAACAGTAAGCTCAGCAGCTCAGGGGGTGGAGGCAGCACAACCACAACGACGGCGTCTACTCCTGGCAACACATCGCCATCCGGGAGCTGCTCCGCTTTGTATGGTCAATGCGGTGGATCGGGTTGGACTGGTGCAACTTGCTGTTCTCAGGGAACATGCAAATACTCCAACGCTTGGTACTCACAGTGTCTTTAAATGATCGAGGAGAGTCGGAAACTGTGCTTACTTTATGCTGGGGGATGTTTCATGTCACTTAGGTTTCACTACCATTCAAAGAAAGACTGAAGCTATCAGAGTCATTGTTTGTTCAGTTTCGATTGCAACTGATCTTGAGCTATTGTGAAATGCAGACTTCGTTCCGTCCCTCCCTTTCAACAGTCCATGCTAGCAGCTAGATGATGCCCTGCGGGCCATCCTCCCTGATGTTAACAAGCAGATGAAGGCCAGCGCTCAATCCCGAGGAGCCCAGCGATTGCCAGGCTTCCAAGTGCTGTCATAGACGGGCATGAGGCAGAGAGGGTCGAGGGGGTGGTTGCTGTACATGCTGGCCAGATAGTGGCGAGCAGGATGGGCGAGCTCCAGGCGTTTCTTGATCGACTCCCGCTCGAGCTTCAGGCGCGCATTGTTGTCCTGAGCCGCCTGCTCGATGCAGATTCGGCACTGAGTCTCGTGGATCCAGTGAGTGCCGTAGGAGTGGTTGTCTGTGCCACACAGGCCGTGAGGCGTGAGGTTGCATTTGTTGATGTCCATGCCAGCCACCTTGTTGGGATAAAGGTGCGGGCACTTGCGGATCTCGATAGCCTCGTCACAGACCATGTACAACACGACCGACTCGATGAGGCGGCGGCAGCTCTGATTCTCGCAGACCCAGTTGAGACGAAGAATTCCGCACATCTTGGCGTTTTCAAGAGAAGGTGAGAAGTTGAGAGATGGTGAGTGAGTTGGCTGAGGGCGTTAGATACCATATCAATATAACCTGAGAAGAAAATAGATGCATACTCACGTCGGAATCACGAGCCGACGGTGATGAATATTTGTAATTGAAGATGACTTAACTGAACTGACTGCAGGGCTGTAGACCGATACAAAGCTCGCCAATTTGCCGAGTAGATGATGCAAACGAACTTGGCGAAGGACTCGAATGTCGACGCGTCGAAAGTCTTGTCTTCAAGGAAGTGGTGAAATAATCCTGGAAATTGAAAAGGAAGGAAAGAGAGGGGACTGGCTCTTTTGTTTTGAAATTGGATAATGATCCATGAAAGAAGCGGGCTGTTTTGCCTCCAAATACCACCGCCCGGGTACTTCACCTCCTTACCACAGCCTTAGACCAGGCAACGATCTGGTTCAGTCAGGTTCACAAGAGAGGATGAAATATCAATTTGGAGAGGTAGGTTTGTGGGAAGATTGCTTGAAGGTTTCGATAAAGCTTGCTGACTATGTGAAGAGCGGCCGTGAATCTCATAGCACCTCAATGGGGCCAACTTCAACCAGCCTTTAATCATAGTTCATACAACTGACTTCTTAGCAATGACCCAGAGAAATGAGGCATCGACATGGTCTTTGGTTACCTCGCCGACAACAACCTCGAGCCCGGCCTTCCGCACCTGCTCAAGACTTGTGTCGGCTCCCCAGCCAGACCAGAACATCCAGCCCTTCTCATGCAGCCACTTCTCATTGATGGCTGCGTCCATGGCTTCGGCCGAAAAGTTGATGAGGATATGACCGCCTGGCTTCAACCATTCGACGATCTTCGCAAGCAGCTGAGTCTGCTCTTCGCGTGGAAGATGAATCACGCTGTAGAAACCCAACACAGCTTCGAAGGAGGCTGCCGGAAAGTCAAGAGACATCATGTCGCATTCAACCCATGTAATTCGATCCGTACCCAATTTCTCCTTGCCCAATGCGATCTGGGCGCTGGACAGATCATTGGCGGTCACGGCGGCGATGCCGGGAGTCGCAAGAAGCCTCTCTATCACAGGAACCCCAGCTCCACATCCTAACTCAAGCACGGTAGCGTTTTCCTTAGGGAGGAGCGGCAAGAGTTTGTCGAGATAGACGACTCGAAACTCCGAGTTCTTGACAGTCCACGCATTGTATTCGGGGGCAATAGCATCATACGATGCCTTCAGCCTCGCTTTGAGGTCCTCTGGAGTCTCCTGAACTGACGATGCCATTATACCGTGGGGTTGTTGTTTTCTGAGGACTTGTAGCTTGGGTGTTGTCTAGAAACCGAAGAAGGTTCATGAATTGTGTTTCAACTTTTCCAAGCAAGAGCCTCAGAGTCCCTTCTAACGCTTCAGGGAAACCATTTGACTTGTACTGTTATGTGTACCGGTCATTGGAGAGAAGGGCTCTTTACTTATAGCCCATTGCCAATAACATCACATAAATCTCCTCGATTTCTCGATGGGGAAAGATCCTTTTAGAGAAGTTAGTCATACCGAGTGGCCGGTTGGATGCATTGCCGGTGGTTTTAGCGGATGGCATCATTGGGTCTATCGGACTGTCCATCTTGAAAAGCCCAGGGTTAGGGTTCGCCTGCAGATGGCGGGTAGCGGCCGAATCCGATAAGGTTTTAGCGTGCCTGCCTTCCTTCCGTTAGGCTGCACTGAACTGAACTGAACTGCGGGGTGGGATGGGCTTTTTTCTTTTGGCGGGGCTGCCGAGAGCCTCGAGACAGCTTCAGAAAAAAAAAAAATTCCTCGGTGAACTTGTAATTCGGTCATCCCAGGCATCGTGCCCTGCTGCTCTCCCTTTCCCTTTGCTCCTTTGTGTCCCTCTCCTCTCCGTGCGCCTCTTTTCGAGATCTCATACCCGAAGTGCCTCTCCTCAGACAACCGCCAAGATGGTGACCAAGATCTACGTGACGTACAACGATGTAAGTCATCATCCCTGCCTCGAGCCTTGACTCTGGCGTTTGCTTGTCTCAGCAACCCCGCGACGATGAGTGTTGCCTGTGTACCCCGCAGCGTAGGACCAACATCAACAAACAACAACAAGGACAATACCAGGGACACCGTCGTCCTGTCTCCTATTTTCTATATCATACGCAACATGCATATACACGAAGAAAACGTTTGACGAGAGCCGCTGCTAAACTCGCAATGCCCATCGCCAGGTCCACAAGCTGTGCCAGGAGGCCGCCCCTCCCATCCTCGAGAAGTTCAAGCCCACGCTGATGATCGCCATCGGCGGCGGCGGCTACGTACCCGCGCGCATCCTGCGTTCGTTCCTCAAGAAGCCCGGCTCGCCGAACATCCCCATCCAGGCCATTGGCCTGTCGCTGTACGAGACGCTCAGCACCGACGACCAGGTCGAGGAGCCCGGCACAAAGGTCACCCGCACCCAGTGGCTCGACCTCAGCAGCCTCGGCGAGATGAGCAACCTCATCGGCAAGCGCATCCTCATCGTCGACGAGGTCGACGACACCCGCACCACCCTCGAGTACGCCGTCAAGGAGCTCGAGAAGGACGTCGAGGCCGCCCGTGTCAAGCTTGGCAAGAGCGAGTCCGAGAAGACAGAGTTTAGCATCTTCGTCCTACATGTGAGTATACACGATCCTCTAGACACCTAGCTACCCACCTACCGCCTCGGGACGTGGCTATACCTTGGCCATCCGTGTTGGGTAGACTGCATGAGGTCGATTGGTCGCTGACACATGGCCGGTCGTACAGAACAAGGATAAGACCAAGAAGGGAACCCTGCCGAACGACATGATCAACGAGGGCCGCTACATGGCCGCCCGGACCGTCGGCGATGTCTGGATCTGCTACCCCTGGGAGGCGACCGACATTGACGAGCACGATAAGATGTCGAAGGAGCAGAAGGCGAATGGGACAAACTAGAGTTTTGAGGCGGCGTTTGGATGATGACAATAGACAAGGCTTGGAGAGCAAGACAAAAGGTCACAATACATGCATGCACTCACTCTTAAGATGACAGAGGACTCGGCACTATAGACTCGTGTAGCAGCTGACAGAGCGCATCGGAGAGTTGTGACATGGGGTACCACCTAAGAGGTAGGGGAAGGCCGCTTCACAGATGGCTACACTTTCAAATCTCTCGGCTCAGACAGAGAGACGTAGATTCGGCGATAGCAGGACGCGATCACGATGCATTCTTGAAGAGCAAGGATCTAAATAAATCTCCTGATTTTTGTCTCCGAAGAGACCCATTCGCCGGAACTCACTGTCATCACTGCGCGTTCTCAACTTCCTCTCCTGGCAGCGGTCGTTGTCGCTATCTCCTCGTGCCTGTTCATTCGGCGGCTCTCATCGCCGTCGAAGGGCTGGGCTGAATCAGCGCGGCCTTTCCGCCCTCTCGGTTGTCGACGGGACACGGCGGGTCCTCCTGTAAGAAGTGGCACTGCTAGAATCAGCATACCACAGATCGCACGTTCATTTGTGCCTGATCATGATTGATTTTTTTTTACCCCAGAAAGGTATTATGAGGCAAGTTCTATCGTAGTCTTCTCCCATGTTGCAAAATTACCAATTGCTGCAGCCAGCCCGCCATCTACCCGCCGTTTGTCATGAACGGTGTATGTGTGAATTCCGCATGTATGCATCCCTCGGCGGCCGCCGGTTCTTTGAGGCTCGGCGGGCAGGGGGCACCACCAACACCGATGCCAATTATCATCGACCTAGAAGCCTTCTAGAAGCGCGAAGTCGACGCTATGTCATTAATGATTACTTGTTGTGTCCTAGTCTGGTGGCGTTTTGGCGTTTCAGCCTATGGGTAATAATGATTTGCACAGGGCTGATAGCGATCAAGAGTGGCTCGTAGGCTAGAAAGGGGCAAACGTCTCGTCGGATCGCGAGCCGACTTAGATTATGACGGTACACCCATATGCCGCTCGATGGGTCGGTCAGATAGAGATATGGCGTGTCAGAGATTCTATATAAGATGTCGTCTCCTTAGATCCGATGTGGTATGCAGTTCTTAAGTTCGACGTATTGAATTTCTGCCCTGGCTAGCCGAATCAACACACCCAGCAGCTTCTCATTAGCCTTCAACATGTTACTCAAGAACATCGACGCTCACGATTCTAATTCTGGCGGCCGGGCTGCGCAAGAAGAAGTAGTTCTAGCTCCTGTGTATTACTTCTCTGAGCCGAAGGCAGCCATCGCCCGTTTTCAGAACCGCTTCCCACACGTCAAGTTCCTATGGCATACTATGCAAGATAAGTTTCACGTTGACGATGGACAAATACCAGATGGTAAGTCAATGGTTTATTCCTTCTCTAATCTCGGAGTCCGTCCATCGTAGAAGTATGAAAAGAGGAGCCAGTGTTAACTCATAACTTGTAAAGAGGACTGGCGCAGGGCTACCATCCTCCTCACATTCGGTCACTCTCCTAGAAGCCTCTCACAAATGCCAAACCTCAAATTCATTCAACTGCTTAGCAGTGGCCATGACCACATGCTCAACACACCCGTGTTTTCAGATCCTTCCATCCCTGCAGCCTCGTCTTCTGGCGTCGCAGCTCGTGCGATAGCGCAGCATTCCGTCCTTCAGATCCTCTCCTTCGCACACAGCTACCCCAAGGCACTGCAAGTCCTGGAGAAGAAAAAGCACTGGATAGAGGCCGATGAGTGGCCGTTCCAAACAGTGCTCGAGGGAGCAAGAGTCGGCATTATGGGTTATGGAGCGATCGGCAGACAAGGTGAGTAAATTCAATCGCGAATTTTGTCCTTCCCCTTTCTCTTTTTTTGTTCTCTCCTCGTCTCGAAATATCTCACTGAACCGTCGAAAGTCGCAAGAATCCTTCACGCGATGGGAATGCAAATCATCGCCTGTGCTGCCGAGCCTCTATCGACACCTGAAAGCCGGCGTCACACAGGCCTCGTTCTTCCTGGCTCGGACGACGCCGCGATGGGCGACCGGGAGGGTGTGCTGCCCTCTGAATGGCACTCGGGCGACACGAAAGCGAATCTGCACAAGTTCCTTGGAGCCGATCTCGACTACCTAGCCATCTTTGCCCCCCTGACGGAAACAACAATGCACTCCCTCGGCAGGGAGGAGTTTGATCTACTCGGACAGCAAAAGAAACCGTTCCTGTTGAACGTATCGCGCGGGAAAATCGTCGTACAGGATGAGATGATCGCCGCGCTGAAGGATGGTCGACTGGCGGGTGCCGCGCTTGATGTGGCGGACCCGGAACCTCTACCGGCGGAGAACGAACTGTGGCGACTGCCGAACGTGACGCTCACGTCGCACATGGCGTGGGCATATAAGGAGTACATGGATGATGCGCTGAAGATCTTCGCGGAGAACTTGGCGCGGCTTGAGAAGGGTGAGAGACTGCTGAACGAGGTGGATCGCAGGACACATTGACGCTTTGCAATGATTTGACGAATGGCCATGGAAGCTAGAGAGAGTTTCGGCGCTGGCGTTTGGCGTCTTTATTGTAGGACTGGGCAATGTTTCTCCAGTCGACTTCTTCATCATCCCCGTAATAAGAATTGAAGTTATCCTCTTCGTCATTGACGTTCTCGTCATCAGTCTCATCCTCACTATCATCCTCGCGATACTTCGGGTACAGATAGCGAAGGTCTATCTTACGAGCCTCTTCATCGGCAGGCACTTCGAATACCTCGTTCTTCCACTCTGCAAATCGTACAGTCTTCTTCACCTTGCTGGTATTGGCGAAGGTGGTCTGCGCTGAGAGGCTGTAGTTGGGCAGAATCGGATCGACGTTATCCATCTCGTCGGCCCAGCTTGCGTAGATAGGAGCCTTCTCAACTATGGCGACCTCCTCGCTATCATCATCCGAGTCCTCATCATCATCATCAACATCATCGTCGCTGTCTTCCTCCTCGATCTCGTCATCAGTGTCGCTACCGAATTGGATATAGGCGTCGTCGATAGATTTGAAGATCTCGTCTCGCTCAAATGCCTCTTTCAGCAGAGTCGTGAAGAGCTCGGGTAGGTAGAAGACTCCAATGTTCTCCTCTCGGTACTTCATCGGGCAAGCCTTCATAAGATCGTACGAGATCTCGCAGTAGGTGTCCTCGAAGAGCTCCCACATCTCAGGTGAGATGCTGGGTCGAGGAATGTAGGCGTTGCTGCCGTGAACGGCGGGAACAAGTCTCTCCTTCACCTCATCTTGATTCAGCTTGATGAAATCACCAGTGTCCTCCAGGTCGATGATGAACAATGTCACCTTGCCGTGTCTATTCATCCCAAGCAAGAGCTCGACACCACGACCGTCAATTCCGGCTGCCCAGTGCATGACGGCATAGGAGATGGCGATCTGCTTGACGAGGATCTGTAGCCAGAAGGGAGAAAGATAACTCTCCAGCTGGCCGAAGTAGGCAGGGAAGTCGCGCAGAGAGGTCTCCTCACCATGAAGAGGGTGTAGGACCGGAGTACAGTCGCCATTGGGATTATTGAGTCCTAGGAGCGGGCGGATGAGACAATGCTCGTTCTCGGGATCCGCGAGAACGGCCTCCTTGACGTGGGCCTTGAAGTACTTGCCCACAATCTGTCTTCGAACACCCACGGTGAAAGGAGTGATACTAGGGATAATCAGTGCGCAATGGCCATTGGTTTCGTCATTCTGAGGAGAAGAAGTCGGCATTCTCTCGCGGAATTGACGCAATTGGCCGTCTCCGGCCTCAAGGTAAGCTCTCACTTTAGGAGGCTTGGGAGCCGCGATTCTCTGATCTCGTTCGGCCACACGACGAGAAAAGCGCTTGTCGTGAATATGATGACGGTAGATTTTGAAACCCTTGTAAAGTTTCTCGATGGCGATCTTCTCTCTCAAGAGGTCACTAGGATTGCCGAACTTGAGGACCCCGTCGAAGGACTCAGGGATGCGATAGACGGTGCTGGCCTTTCCTCGGCCTATGACGGAGAGAGGATCAGTGCAAGGGGGGTGCTCCATTTTCTCATGGATGGTAGGGAGAAGGGGATAGATGTTGTGGTTCAGGATAGCCATCAGTTTCGCCTTATTCTCAGGTGAGAGAGTAGCGGAAACCGGCGACTGAGGGCCTTCAAGGGGCTCCCCGGTGGGAGAGACAGGGCTGACAAGCTGCATGGACTGTCTCCTGATGAAATCCACTGCGTATTTCTGGGAGAGGTAGTAAGTCTCAGGCCGTCCAGTCTCCTTGGATATGCGTGGCTCAGGATGCTTCTGGTGGTAAGCTGCGAAGTCCGTGAGGAACGTGTAGACTGCTGTCAGCTGCGACTCCATGCTGAATTTCGCGGTGAGATTGATTGGGAATAGGAATTGCAATTAGGGCTCGGGTAAATTGGGAATTTATTTGCAGTGAAGGAGGAAGGTTTTTGGGTATCGGAGAAAGATGTGATCGAAGGTTTGGCGGGGAGAGATGGAGCGATGGGTTGTGGTTGTTGGTGAGAACGGCAGTGAGTTTTGAAAAGAATTGGCGGGGTAATAGTTGGCCAGTGATTTCTTAAAGAACAATATGTAAATCTCAGAGAAATGGGAAAAGTTGTGTTTGTAAATATCATGAAGCGGAAAAGTGGTGTAGAGGTGAGGTGATGGCAAGTAGTCAACCAAAAAGTGACCACACAGCGACAACCACTCAAAAGACCGTTGAATAAGTACAGTGAAAAGATTTGGGGTCTAATATGTCCCCGCCATCGTTCCATCAACGTTCAAATGTTAACCGCTAGAAATTAATGTAAAAGAAAAAAAGGCAGCCCTGCCATCTTCATGATCATTATCGTGTGGTATCTATCAACGAGCCCCTCCACCCTCCATCCGCAGACTTCAACTCCCAACTGTCCCCTCTCTCAAATGCTTCTCCTTGAGTCTTTTCTCCTGCTTCATAAACTCCCTTATGCCCACTGGGACATTCTGATAGAGTTCCTCGTCCCAGAAGTTCTTAGCCAATCTCTCGGGGTCCTTGCCACTGGAATCCCAGTTCGTCTCAGAACCGCCGCCGTCCTCATCCATACTAGCCGCATGATGATCTGAACCGCGAGCACTCACACCTGAGACTCCAGCGGGAGGGGGCACAGTAGCATTACTGGCGAGTCCAGCCTCCTGGGCCCGTAGCCTTTTCTCTGCCTTTGCGCTGGCTGTTGCCCAATCCTCCATCTCATCCCGAAAACGATCCCATACACAATTGACACAACCACTCATGCAGCAGTTGTCTGGCTCAGACGGTTTTGGTGGTACTAGAACACCGGCCACCAGTGTGCTCCTCGACCTCAACTCGGCAAGGCGCTCGGCGCGTTCCATAGGTCCGGCAAGTCGAGAGCCGAACACGATCTTGGCTTGTGCCTGAGCGCTCTTCGGCGGCGGTGTGGGAACAGGTGGAGAGGTGGATGTAGATGGTTCTGGAGCGGCCGCCTTTTTGGGTGTAGAAGTCGACGGTTTCTCTTCCTTTGCCTTCCTCCCCCGGCCCTTCGGCGGAGAGGGTGTCTCCGGCTCCTCAGTTGACGAAGCGGGTGGCTCCTCAGGCTTCTCCTCTGGTATTGGTTGGGGTGTGATCAGAATGTTCTCATAGTAGGCGCCGAGAGGCATAGACTGAGTGTTCGAAGGCTCTATCGGCTTCGGTGGCTCCGGATTCTTCGTTGACACAAACATTCGCTGGGGATGTTGCCGAGCAATTGCAGCCAGTGACCGCAGAGGCCGTGGCTTTGACAGGATTCTACCTGCGCTTAAAGACATCGTTGATCTATAACAGAAAAGAAAAACAGTAACTATCGTGGGAGCATCGGACCTGGTTGGAGTGGTGGGGTAAGAGTCGCGGTCTTGAGCGCAGGCCGAGGGGCAAGTTTGATGTCAGCGGTGGTTGCTTTGTTGCGCTTCAAAATATCGCAATGCCGAGACGTCATAAGCAGGAGACCCCTGTCACGGCTGGCAAGTCATCACGTGGAGCATCACCTGCTTTCGTGTCCGGCACTTTCGCCTGAATGCCGACCTTGTCTACTGACGAATGCTTGCTAATTTGATAATTTAATGGGAATGGAAACAATCAACTTGTTCTCGCTGATATATTCCCAGCACCAAAACAAGAATAGTTTCCACCCCTGCCTTTGCCATGTTCGGGTGGCATAGTGCACTTACACGCTTGTTTTGACCCCAACCCATGTACATGGCCTGTGCGCTGTAGATTCCACCCTTCAAGAGCTGGCCCAATACGGAAGGCGGTCGCAAACCTGCCCGCTTCCAACACGCGTCAAGACGGAACATCACCGGAGAGAAACGGCCCAGCACAATCATACGGGCAATTGGCTTGCATTGTATATTATGCTGAGATGTTATGAGTATAATGAGCCGAGGGACGACATTACAATCACAATATGGAATTGTCCGCGCCCAAGCGACGCAAGACATCGCCCACCAGCTCCGTCGCGATAGACGCGAATAAGTCCACCACCCCAACAGACTCTCCACCAAGCTCCAGAACAAGGCGATCAATACGTCCATCCTTCGCGTCGCCAACGAAAGCAAGCCTTGCGCGACACAATCCAGACATATTAAGCAGGCGACAGCCAGCGGCTTCTACTTCTGCGCAAGATGCGGAGCCCAGCGCGTCGAGACCTGGAAGCCCTGACGGCGACGGCGACGATGTCGAAAGAGCGCTCAGTGCGCAACTCGAGAGACTATCCGAACCTGATGTAGCGGAACCAGGCGATGGGTCTATCGAAGCTAGCCAAGAGGCAAGCGGCACGTCTAACAGGCGTTTGAGCGCGCCAGCTAGGAGAATCAGCGCCAACTTCGCAAAGTCCCCAGCACGGAAAGTTGGAGGTGGATTGACAGCGAAACCACGGCGCTCATCTATCAAACCAAGCCCTCGCCCACTTCCTCCGCCCGGCCCCGAAGATGAGGAAGATATTCTCAATCCTTTCGTAGGAAGAGGACTGCATCGGTCACCAGCTGGTGTGATACCAGAAGTCGTGCAGGAAGAGCCGGAACTACCACCGACGCCTGAACATCCCGACCCAGTTGTTAGCACTCCGCCGTCCGGAATCCACAACACCCCGTCTAAGCGCCCGAGGAGGAGCAAGTCTCTTGCTGATAAGATCAGAAGCTCGCCTTCAAAGCCAACCCCATCGAAACTCAGACCTCGCATCGTAAGACGGGGAAGTCCCGAGCCTATACGAGACATGCCTTCTACGTTGGCAATGGCTAAGTCCAGTACAAGGAAGAAAGATATTCGTGGACTGGAAAAGTCAGGTCCAGATCCAGAAAAGGAGTTACGGAGAAACAGGCTTCGATCCCAAATCGCGCAGCTAGAAGAAGATCTGCAAATCTTATCATCTGAGAACAAGAGGATGGAGAACATAACTACTGTCACCTTCCCTATTTATCAGGATGATCTCTTGAGAATTGTAGGCGAGCATGTCATGCCGCGGAAACCTCAAAAGCCTAATCAGACTACCGCCTTCCTCGACGCGGCACTTAACCCAATCCCATTCCTCCCTTTTGGCAAAGCATCATCATCTTTGCCCTCACTTTTTCATCAAGACTCGAAGGCACAAGATGAAGATGTTTCTACACTTATCTCACACCATCCCATTCAAATGGATATCAAGAACGAACTCTCCTATCTAGAGGTCTTCACTCCGCTCTCGTTCACATCCAAGATACACCTGATTCAAGAGGAGTCCTCGGCGGGCGCGGCTTTGCAGAGACATGTTATCACGGCGAAATCAAATCCTCCTGGTTTTTTCACCACAAGGCTCGAAATGACAGTCAACACAAAGACTTTAGCGATCACTGATATGAGCGTTCCCCGTGTGGAACCAGCCGCCGTCACGGAGCTCATCCCTTTTATCGACAACATCCTGGGACAAGGTAACTCAAACAGTGCCTTGATGAAGAACGTCAGCATTATTACCTGGGCAATGGGTGAATGGTACCGCGTCGCAATGCAAAGAGCACAGTTCTGGATTGATTTGAAGGATGGGCTGGGCTCTAAGGATGCCATTACACACTCCGTGCACTCGATGAGAACTCGAAAGCCAACGCGACGAAGGAGAAGACATCAAAATACCGAGGACAGCGAGCATGAAGACGAGGATAGCGCGCCGAGTGCGAGGAAACGTCAGAGAACGAAAACCGAAGTACTCTCCCAACTAGGGCAATTATCTACAAACTTGGTAATTCCAATCCTCGGCAGTTCTGAGGGAGCCATGTCAGACCTACGGGTTGAATGGCGCATCGAATTCGACTGGACTGGTGAAGCAAGAAGCAAGATTGGGGTTCAGGTAGGTGTACCTGCCAAATGTAAGTCACTGCTCGCCCTCCACCAAGATTGACGCTTACAATATTACAGGGCACCAAGGCGATGAGCGTAAGAGGTTGGCTGGCATCCCAGATCTTTTCAACAAGATGTTACATGGAGGAGAGGATCCATTGGTAGCTGTGAAGATCGTCGTCTCGCTACTGGCCGGCGATGCCAGCGCATGATGAATGCACGAAGTGACGAAAGAGAAGCTGTTGCCCAAGTGCAGTGTAAATAGCACCTACAATACATCTCGTGCAATTGCCGAGTGAAGCTCGACTTGTTACACTCGCGAAGAGAGCTGTATTATCAAGACGTCGATCCTCCATTGGCTTCGAGTATTCTCGCTAGCTTCTCTGCTTCATGTGATCTTACAACTTGCCAATCATTGCTTTTGAGTAGCCTTCCATGTAGCCTTTCATGTAGCCTTCCAGTGATCCATCCATGCACGTCCTCTTCCAATTAGTCCACATCGACGCCCAGTGTGCGGAGGTCTTTCTTAGCCAGCTCAATCTCGCCCATCAACTCCTTGTACGCATCAGGGCAGTCGTTGAAAGTGAAGACACCCCAGCCGAGACGAACGAGCAGGTAAGCACCGAGGGAAACGAGAGCCCAGAAGGGGAGCTGCGCAAGAGAGGATTAGTGGCCGGGCCAGGAGAGAATCAATTGGGGGATGCGCTTACCACCGGGACGATCTCCTGCTGAATGATGTCGGGCAGGGGAATAAGCTGCAGGTACAGAGACAGATAGAGCTATACGGCGAGAATTGTCAGTTCACGATGGCAGCTAGGGGCGGCGGGTAGTCGTACGGAGCTCACGAGGAGCGCAATGGAGATGGTCTGCTGTGCGCGCGTCATTGTGGATTGGCTGGAGGATTGACTTGAGGTGGAGGGGCGAAAGGCAAGGCGCTGTCTATCTGCGAATAGAGGTCGTCCTTAGAAAGAGGGCAAATGAGTGACAAGAAGCTTTCACTAAGACACAGAAATTAAAAATGGCTAAAGGCCGAAGACACACAGACAGCGATGTACGTGAGGACACGATGGAATTACCGTGTTAAACCTAGCGGCGGGATGGCCAGGGGTGTTTGGCCGGATCAATGGTTCCTCCACCACCTAAAATCTACCCCCTCCAGTGACAAAAGCGCCCGTGCACGACCCCTGAGGTGGGCAACTGATGCACACTCCTTTTCAACTTGCCATTTCCACGAGGACATCATGAAGTGACAGAATGCAATGCAGTTCCATTCCGATTTTGTTCCCAGCTCAGCCCCAGGTAGACAAAAGCTCGGCCTCCATTCCATTCGCCAATGCGCATTTCCAACCCGGCTACGCTGGGTAATTAGGAAGGAAGAGCTGCCTCAACTTTGTCGATCAACATCTCCAGGACCTTGATCCTCTGTGTCAAACGTATCAACTCGTGGTCCTTCCAGCTGTCAGGCACAGTTCCGGCAGCTTTTCCTGCCTCTTTGACATCAAGTAACTTGATGCCCATAGCAAGGAACGAAGTAAGCGCCGTGGTTAGGGCTTTCTGTGCCTCTGAATGCTTCTTCTGACGGTCGACAAGGCCCTTTTGGCTCGTAAAAGACTTTCGCTCAGCCTCTCTAGCCGTTCCCAGGATCTGCTGGATTTCTCGCTCGAGTATACGCTTCTCCTGGATGCTGGTGTGAAGGGCTCTCGATCGTTGAGCTAACTCACTTATGGTGTTTTTCAGTGCCGTCACGACGCCATCATTGCTACCCACGAACAGCATGTAGCTCTCCACTTGTGCCTCACACTGCTCGACCCGAGCAAGTGCAAGTATCACTTTCTCCTTCTCGGCGATGAAGTCTCGCTGCATCAAGGTGAGCGTAGTTCCTGGCCCCGTCAGATTCTCGGCTTTGTCGCTCTCCTTCAGGGTAGATGGCACGAGTTGGTTGTGTAGGTAAGCAGGAGGCATGACCAAGCTCAGTTGACCCTCCGCGGCTTTGTTCGAGGGCTCCTGTGCGAGTGACTGATTAGGAGGCGGACAGCAAGTTGTCGTCCCCCCAAGGGTGTTGTGCTTTGCGTCCTGGGTGTGAGTGACTACCTCTGGAGACAACATGTTGCTTTCGATTTATTAAGGCATGCAGTGATGGTCCGCGTGGGAATTGATCATGGGTAGCAGGGCCGACAAATGCTGGCGTAGCCTACACAACAGTCGCGTTGCTTATATATGCGATCGGCCAAAGAAGTATCTGTACTAGTCTACGCATGTGGCAAGAGTGGTTGCTTCCAGAATGATTCTGTGATCAAGACATATTGGAAATACACATGTTTCGACACGCTAGGCTAGAGCATCTCTTTGTTGATTGATATCACCATCAACCCAAGCGATTCGGCTTCAGCTTCAAAATTAGGCAGCTAAGTTATCTTCTCAACAGGTCATTTGAGCAAAATCGATCCGGGTATGTTCTGGCTTTCAGGATAGAATTCTTGAGTTCACGGTGTGCTTCTACAATTTCCACCCCTCATTCCCACCAAGCTTACGATGTTGCACGTACACCTTACATAATTTTGAACAGTCGGCAGGTTTGAACTTGGTTTGACTTTATAGAGATTTTAAAAATCCGTCTCTTAATGTTGTTATAATAGAAGGAGAAATGCCATATGTGGTAGTTTGCGCCACTTTCTCACATATATCCCTGACACAAAATGTGCCAAGTAACGGGTATTTGCCGCCCCGCCCCAATCAAGCGAAACAGGCAGCAGGGAATATCATGCAGCAGAGCATGATGGACCGTGGAATGGGACTGTAAAGAACACGGTGTGGTATATCTATGTATGTATCGTACCTTTGGGTCAACATTTAAATAAGAACTTTACCATAGCAAAGCAACCGCAGTGGATGAAGCATATATTTTCATCCATCAAGCGCTTCAATCTCTTCCACAGCTTCGAGATTCCCCAACACCTTAGGTGATACGCGGTGGAGTTCTCCGTCATCATGTCTTCCCACCTTCAGTCCAAAACCCCTACCTCACCTCTTCCTAGATTTGATACAACTCCATCGTCAATCCCCGAAGATATTATTCGTCTGATAGAATCATCAAGAAAGTCACAAGATCACATTGCGAGCAACTTGTCTCCAGAAAATGCAACAGTTGAAGAGAGTTTACGGAGAGTTCATCAAAAACGGACTCAATATTTCAGATGAGACCCAACGGGATAAGTTCCCCAAGATACAAGCTCAAATCATTGAGCTGACGGACCAATTTGAAACTAATGCGGCTGCCTCAACGACAGCTCATGCCTGGCTAAGCATTGAAGAGCTGGCTGGAGTACCTAAAGAAGTTTTGTCTCAAATGGAGAAAGGAAACGGTGATCATGAAGGCAAACTTCAAGTGATATTTCGTGACCATCTCCGTGCGGTCCTACGGTTCGCAGTCAAAGCAGACACTAGAAAGCGGGTCTACGTTGCGCATGCGAATCGATGCAATGAGAACATACCATTGTTTCGTGAGGTCGTCATTCTTCGAGACGAGGCAGCACGTCTCCTGATGTATTCCAGTCACGCGGCACTGGTAGTTGAGAATAAGATGGCACAGACCACAGAGACAGTCCACTCCGTGTTGAACACACTGCAGAAGGGACTTATGCCAGGAGGGCTCCGAGAACTCGACAAATATAGGAGGTTGAAAGAAATCGATTGTGTATCTCAGCAAGGGTCTTGGGATGGTCACTATTTTCTTTGGGATCAGCCCTTCTACAGTCGAAGACTACTTCAAATTGTTCACTCGATTGACTTGGATGAAATTGCCGAGTATTTCCCTCTTCAAACGACTATACATGGCATGATGAACATCTTTGGTCGCTTATTTAGTATCGAATTCGTTGAGCTAACCACGTATGATATGACAAGTTGGCATGATGATGTCAGTGCCTGCGACGCGGCCGAAAGGGGTGGCGACTTTCTTGGATATCTATATCTAGACCTATACTCTCGTGGGTTTAAACCTACAAACCCGGGGAACTTCCCGATCGTACCGGTATCTTGGCACTTACTTTCTCTTGGTCCAGCTTAACGGCCACTGACGGCTACCAGGGTTGCATGCGACCAGATGGATCGCGAATCTATCCGAGTTCAGCTCTGATTTGCAGTTTCCCAAAGCCCACATCCACGAAACCATGCTTACTGCGACATGATGATGTGGTCACTTTGTTTCATGAGCTCGGACATGGGATACACGATATCGTCTCCAAGACGCTCTATGCGCGTTTTCATGGCAGTGGAGGAACTGTGGTTGACTTTGGCGAAGCTCCAAGCCAAATGCTAGAGAATTGGTGCTGGGACCCGTCACAGCTTAAGTATCTGAGCCACCATTACTCTTCGTTGTCTCCAGAGTACGTGAAGCACTGGAAGGACGAAAGAGCAGTGCAAACAGGCGGCGCAGCCACAAAGCCACCTAACGTGCACCTTCCTGATCGGATGATAACCAATCTATTGAACTCTCAGAGCGAGAATAGGGCGCTAGCAAATCTCAACCAACTCCAGATCAGTGTCTTCGATTTCACAATCCATGACCCAACCAGCCACGAGTCCGTTGAGAAACTATCTCAGCGACATATAATCGATTGAAACGAGAGATATTTCCCCTAGATAGCTCATATATCTTAGGCGAAGGGGATGAGTGGGGTCACCCATATACCGATTGGAGAAACCTCATGAGTGGTGACTATCATGCTGGATATTATGCCTACTTGCTGTACGTTGCCATCTCCGCCCTGCTTGACTGACGTGTGATGATTGACATTGTTTTAGTTCTAATATATACTCGGCTGACATGTTTGATTCGGCATTCAAGACGAATCTGATGGATGAGACTCAGGGTTGGCGATATAGGCAAGTGGACTCGGAGAAAGGGGCAGCCTGCCAGAGATGGAGACATTGATAAACTTCTTAGGCCGAACACCAAGTCCTGTAGCTTTCTTTAGAGAGCTTGGAATTATATGATCTGTTTTATGTTTCATGTCTAGAACCCCGGCTGGACCCGCAGTCTTCGGGTTGATCATCGCCTGCTGATCTCAACCACCTTTTACCAAGCGACCTCGCACATACACGCGCGAAATGTTCCTGTCGTCTCCGGTCATGATAAACTTCTCGAATACAGTTCGAATGGAGTCTTCTTCTTCGTGAACAGTCATAGCTCCTTCTGGTTCTGTGGTTACCCAGACCGCGTCGAACTGTTTGCCAACCGTAAAGTTTCCGATCTGATCCTCCAGACAGCAGACCTTCGCACCCCCCATAGTGGCAAGGTAGAATACCTCCTCTAGAGATAGAGCTTTATCCTTCCCGCCAGAAGCGACTTCTCTCGCGTTCGATGCGATAACGGCTTGGCGGATGTTGTCAAGAATGCTCGAGGAGAAGCCACCACCACTATCAGTTCCCAATCCAACTTTGATGCCATGGTTTAAGAATTGACGTATTGGTGCAGCCATGAACCCTCCTCCAACGGTCATGTTTGAGATTGGGCAGTGTGCAACGCCGCAATTTAGTTCTCGAATTCTCTCCATGTCATAGTCGTTCATAAAGGTACAATGAGCTAGTATCGATCGTTTACTCATTAGATCAAAGCTGGCATACAGGTCTGCTTCACTTTTGAAACCCGGGAAAAGCTCTTTGGTCGCATTGATCTCTTGTTCTGCTTCATGAAAGTGGGTTTGGATTGCAAGCTGCTCATCTTGCTTCGCTATGTCGCCGAGTCCTCTCAACAGCTCCGGTGTACAACAGATAGCAAATCTGGGAGTGATGACTGGTCTCACAAGAAGCCCCTCTGGGTCTACACTCCTGATATGAGAAATGCATTCTCGAGTCTCGTGTAGTGATGATTCAGCAGACTCGTCCCGAAGGTAGTCAGGAGCGTTGCGGTCCATATTGCACTTTCCAACAAAGGCCCTTTGGCCTTTGAATTTGCAGATATCCGCCAAAATTTGAGTCGCTTCGGAATGCTTTGACCCATAGTAGGACGCTGTGGTGATACCTTGCTTAAGGAAACCTTCCACGCAACTTTCATAAACGCGTTTGGCGTACTTTGCATCAGAGAAACGGGCTTCATGCGGGAATGTGACCTGGTCAAGCCAGTTGAGGATATGCAATCCTTGACCAAGGCCTCTCATGGACCACTGCGGGGCATGATTGTGTGTATCTATGAAGCCAGGAATGATGAAGCTGCCAGGCCCTAGACGGTGAAAACGAGAGCCTGGGACTTGCAATGCGGCATCATCATGGGCTATATTCTTGTGGAAAGCAATGATACGTCCATCCGAGTCGATTATGAGAGCCGCGCTCTGCAGGATCTCGAGTTCTACTAGGCTGACGGAATGGATGACGGTGCCGTGAAACACCAGGGGAGTACTCATGATGCGGGGTTGGGCAAAGGTTACCGCTTCGCGAGACATAAAATTGAAAAGATCACGTTCGTAAGCCTCAAAACCGAGAGGTCTGCTCGAGCTCAGCATGTGCTCACGGTAGCTGAAGTGTCATAAGTGAGTGTCAGCCCTCTGGACTAGAGTGGAGGGTGAGGCATGGATGGCTTTACTTAAAAGGGTAATAAATGGGTTCGGGTGAGATCGGCCGAGTTTTACCAGAGGGGTCCACTTTCCCGGCTCGCCGAGCCCCGTCGGGAGACTCCCGTGACGACTTCACTTCGTTCACTGCTTGGACGGCCGCTACCGATCGACTTTCAAAGACTGGCTAATGTATGTCATCTAAATGACCGGCGTAGATTCGATCTCAAGAGCTCTCTATCGTTCTGGCACTCCACCTAAGCTTGAATAGCCATGCGGAAGCGATTAGCGGAGATCTTTGTTTCCACTCCAACCTCCAATCATGCCCGGTAGCACTCCACCGCTCCTGCGGACAACTCAACGAGCTCCGCGTAGTTGTGTCTCTTGCTCTTCACGGAAAGTGAAGTGTGACAAAGCTATCCCTTGCTCAACTTGTATCAGCCGCGGCATAGCCGATAGGTGTACTCGCGAGACGGTGATTGTACGAGGTGAAATCAAGATGTAAGATACTTTTTACTCACTCTTTATCTTAGCTAACTGATCTCAAGAGCTACTGATCCGACTTCCTTACCTTCATATGATGATCTGTCCAAGGAAAACCAGCGTCTTCGAGCCGAACTCCAGGCTGAGAAAGACTCATTAAGAATAAAATTGATGCAGAGAAGACGTCAAAAAAAGCTGGAATCATATGAAGTCTGTGAAGAGATATTGTTTGAACGTATCGCTTCAACAGTACCCCCTACCGCGTCAAAGAGACTTGATTGGTCTTCAATAGCTGTGCCCAACATAATCTGCAGTAAACAGCTCGTGGACTACGATAGAAAATGGAATTCATGGGCGCACTATGCCTTGGAATACCCCCGATTTGACGAGGAACACGATATGTTCCTTTCTTCTCTTCAACAAGGAGTGCCCCTTCAGCATATAGATACTTCATGGCTTGCGGTATACTTCAGTGTTCTCTGTGTAAGTCCTCGTGCTTTCCACCCCGGCTTCTCCTCCAAGCCGTCAAAATTGCCCTCAAGCTAAACGATATCTTGTGTACTGACTGACTACTTCAGGCGGCCCTTCTCATGATGCATGATGATGAAGTTCATAATCTATCACTGCCCAATCGTGCGTTTATACTCTGCCTACTACCGAAGATTTTCTCTGACAATGGCATCTAGATATTGGCTATAAAGAGTTATGTCGCCACTGGTATGATGCAGCATTCTTTTGTCTATATCAAATCGACTTCATGAGAAAACCAAATATGCGAATGGTCCAGGCGGTTGCTATTTTGGGCATGTGCTTCAATAACTTTGGAGATCCAGATCTTTGCAGTAACATGTGGAGTTGCGCAATGAGAACTGCCCAGAAGCTGGAGATGGACAACCCAAAGTCCGAGCAGAATCTACCACTGAGCCCGGAAGGTCAACGACGGCTTTGGTGGACACTTGTTATTTGTGAATGGTATGATTATCCTCGCACTTCAACGCGCTCCAGCTAAGTCTCTCTGTAGGATGACAGTACCTTATCACCCGCCGCAGATTGAAGAAGGTGATTTTGACATGACGCTTCCAACTCCGGATCCCATATCAACTCACTATGAAGATGGAGACGTGCAGCCTGTCCACTACCACATTTTCATGTCCAGAACTTCGACAGTGTATTACAGATTTCGAGCTTCTGTCCGCGATGCAGTCCATCCGATTGCCGACCTTGTGCGTTGGGCGGACGAGGAGCTTGCTGAGGTGATTAACACTCTCCCAGAGTATCTCCAACCTGATAGTGGTGAGACAGAGACCATACATAGGCTTGAGGCGACCTACCCTTGGGTAAAATGGCAACGCTTTGATATCACGTTAGTACTCCTTCACCACAGACTTCGCATCAACCGAGTGCTGCAACGGCAATGGCTCTCGTCCCCTGGTGAGTATGAGTGGGCGAGATCTGTTTGCATAAAATCGGCTACTGCTATTATATGGATCAGTCATAACTGGGATCAACCAGCTACCATGCGGAAACAATGGTGAGCCCTTCCACAAGCTCGGCCTTGTGAACTCGTTCTCACAGAATCTAGGGCATTGTCAATGCATCTCTTTGTTGCGGCAATTCTGCTCCTTCGAGAGTCTACACGATCCGAGGAAAATGGTGTTCTCGAATTCCATGATGAAATTGAAACTGCCATAACACAACTTGATGGCGTCGCATCGCAAAGCGCCCTTTCACTTCAAGCAACTACAATGCTTCGTGATCTTTTGAATGGTGTTATTCCGCTACAAACCTGACCTTTTCCTACACCTATTTTTATAATCCAAACCCGTAGGCCTTTTGCGCCTCGTCACTCAGCCCTTCAAGACCAACGTACCCTTTGAGAGTTCTCTCGTCCAATTCATTCTTTTCTTGGTAGTCGGGCGGCGGTCTACCCTGTAAGGTGCAGGCAAGTTGTTCTCGGACATATGCTTTATTATTAGGCGTTGTCGGACAAGCAGCAATGAAGGCTACAGAGGCATTCACTGTTCCTTCATGTACTGGGTCCACGGCATGGCATGTCTGTGCGTATTTGTTAGTATATAAGGTAGTGGACGGAGCAGGTTGCTTACATCAGTGTGCCACCAAACTGTATCTCCTGCTTTGATGCTGGGCATGTGGACCAAACACTCCTCAAGGCGCAAGTGAGGATGGGACGTTCGACTCAATCTTTGGCTCTCCGGTTTGAATGTTCCTGGAAACCAACTAGTCTCATCGAATGTCCACTTGGTAGCGTCCATAAGCTGCGTAGGGTCGGATGGTGGACAGAAGAAGGGTCTGAGCAAGATGTATGAAATGGCTAGAGCCACATTGGGATATACTAGTATGGTGCCTTCATTAGGTGCTGTTTGAGTTAAGGCGGTCCATCCTTGGAACGACCGAAATACAGATGAATGTGCCATCCCTTTGAAAAGCTCCTGGTTTGCCGACATGCGCAAAGCCAGATCATAGCAGTCATGGAGCTCTGGAAGCCCACTGAAGATCTTGTCATAAGCTTTGCGGTATGTAGGGTCTGCCCACCTACAGAGACTACCGGCATCGATGTGAGGCCCGAGGCCGAGAAACTCCTGCTGAGGAGCGCGATCGCGGAGTCCGTCATAATAAACGAGAGGGTCTGAAGATGTCTCTCCAGTAGAATCATGCCAGAGCTCATTAAGTATGCGCTGAAGTTTAAGATGATTCGGATGGGACCGGAGCGCGGTTTGCGTTGGTGAACTGTAGAGAATCAACATTGATGGGCTCTCTTGTGGCCACCCCTTGATTTGCTCCTTGTTCTCAAAAACATAATCTCTCATGTCTTTGTAGAGGGCAGATGCCTCAGCTTGTGGAATGACATCTCGTACCACAAAGGAACCGATTCGTTTTACTTCGGCTTTTTGGGACTCGGTAAATCCATTCTCCAACAGAGTACTCGCATCAAATATTGGTATGATGCTGTGACCTTTCGAGGCGATCTCGTCGGTAATACTTTTTAGTCCATCACAGACTTTGAGCCAGCTGCATCGAAGAGCCTCCTGACCATACTCGGCTATGATGGCTTTCTTGGTAGCCAGAAAATCTGAATCCTTTGCCTCAACGGAGCCTTCAGAGGTGTATTCTGCCCATGCGGGCCACTCCCTCACTTTTCCTGGCATATCGATGGTCGTTATCCGGAAAATACCGCTTTGAAAGATAGATCGCTCAGAATTCAATCTAGCTATTTCGATCCCCAAGACTTTTAAATATCACACAGAGCGGCCAATGCCGATTTATTGGACCTTGTCTACGGCCTAGCTCGCACGAGGTCGGCCGAGTTCGGGTCAGTTCTCCTAAGCCTTGGCATCCTCGATTCAAGGCTTGTGATTGGACATCGGCAGATCTAGGCCAAGGAAACTGATAAGAAAGACCAAAACTAAGTTTTCGGGCCAATCAAATGTAACTCATCTCAAATAGCATCCATTCTCCAGAATTCGAGATATAAGAATGATCGGGATCTTGTAGCATTATGATCGCCTTGATGACCTTGTCTGCCGACTGTTGTGCTGCTTCAGAGTACTCAGTTTCCCACGGTAGCGAAACGAATCTTCAAGATGGCGGTCATAGAGCGAAAACATGTCTCGAAGCTGGTCCCAGAAAACCTCAAAGTGTTGTCAGCACTCTTGCTAGCTGTCGCCATTGTTAATTCCGCAGTGAGTATTCCTTGAGTACTGGAAGCACAGAGTGTTGACTTGTTCTCATGAAGACCCTTGGATATGACTCGTCGGTGATGAATGGTCTCTTGATCCTCCCCTCTTATTCGGAATATTTCCACCTCACCACAGCGACCGAAGGCCTCAACAACGCGGCGTCATGGATGGGCTCGATTCTGGGTTCCTTTCTGATGCAGCCAATCCCCGACTACTTTGGTCGTCGCCGTGCGATCTTGGTTGCTTCTGCTATTGCTGCAATTGGCATCATACTCCAAGCCGCGGCACAGAATGTCCCAATGTTCGTTGTCGCCCGAATTATTGTTGGAATCGGCTCTGCGGTGAGCAACGGTGCGGCACCTACCCTACTAGGAGAGCTGCTCCCAGCGCATAAACGAGGCCGTATTTTGGGCCTCTTTTTCTCCTGCTTTTATGTTGGCAGTCTCCTCTCGGCCATTGTCAATTACGGCAGCCAAAACATTTTGAGCACTTGGGCATGGCGACTTCCCTCTCTTCTTCAAGCCGTGCCTAGCTTGTTGGCCGTTATGCTAGTTCCGTTTGTTCCGGAGTCTCCCCGTTGGCTTATCTCTCAAGACCGCCATGAGGAGGCTCTTGAGGTACTGCTCATCATGCAAGAAGAGCAGACTGTCGACATCCAGAAAGGACGCGAACAACTGCACGAAATTCGAGCTATCATGGCCAAGGAAGCAGAAGAGTATCCTCGTAACCCGTGGAGAGAAATAATTTCCACACCTGCGAACCGAAAACGTCTGGCGATCTTGGTTAGCTTTGGCCCGATGATCAACATGTTTGGAAACTTCATCATCTCGTAAGTTCGGAGCTTATACAATCAATATATCACCTCTAATACTCTGATGACAGGTTCTACTTGACTAAGATTCTTGATCAAGCCGGAATCAAGGACACAACCACTCAGACACAGATCCAGGTCATCATCAATTGCTGGTCGTTCGCAATTGCAGTTTTTGGTAGTTATATGCTCGATATTCTCGGCCGCAGAACTCAGACTTTCATCAGCGTTGCCGGAATGGTCGTGACACTGTACATCGTTGGTGGTCTCATCAAGAGTAAGCTGACCAGTGATCTCCTTCATTTGCAAAAACCATGTTACTTACGATTTATCAGCATATGGCGAAAGCTCAAACAATTCCGGCATATATGGCACAATTGCAGTCATTTTCCTCTTCCAGGGCTTCTACGCATTTGCCATCACGCCTATGACAAGTTTGTATCCAACTGAAGTAGCCCCCTTCAAGCTGAGGGCAACTGGCATCGCCATTTTCCGCATGCTTGACTCCGGCTTCGGGTAAGCAGTCACTTTTACTGCATTACTAACTAATACTTACTTCTCTATAGACTTCTTGCATCTTTCGCTATGGCCTACGCTATGGCAGACTTGGGTTGGAAATTTTACCTCATCAATGCTTCATGGGACTTGGTCTTCCTGGTTATTGCCTATTTCACCTTCGTCGAGACTAAGGGCCTCAAACTCGAGGAGATCGCCGCTAAGTTTGAGGGATCTCAAATTTTAGAAGCTGCTTTGGCAGAAGACAGTTCATCTGTCGAAGGCGCTGTCCTCTCTGACAAAAATGCAGGGGAGGTTAAAGAGCAGGCTCTGCCTTGAGTAGATTGTGCAGGGAACAAAAGAGAAACCGAAATAGTTCCGAGAGACCTAGCTCTAAAGTGGCTGCACGATGAGTTCGTGGGATACTGATTTCGGATTTCCTAGTGTAGATGGTCCCTTGACTTCACCCGTATAGACGTGCTTCTTTATGAATTTCAATAGACGCTCCACCGCCCTGTATAGAGCAAGATGATGTTGTTAGAGACGCAAATTCTATCTACAATTCCGAAGAAGAGAACTCTTAACAAGTGAAACACGTTGCAAGAAGCGAATTCACCTCATCCAAAGGTCTGAGGGTCGATCTTCCAGCGATCGCATTTGTTTTCGAGATACCCGCCCTGCTTCCCGTCTGCTCCGCCACAGTTACAACTATCGATAGGTCCCTTCATGTAGCGCATGCACTGGGCATAATTTAGGATAAAGTCGCAGCCTGGTTTGATTAATAGCTCGGTGACAATGTGGTTAGCCCACTGGCCATTCGCAGGCGGGTCGTCGTTACGGCTACGGACCAGATTGCTGCCACTCCCAAGCGGATTTCACAGCACAACGCCATCCGTACCCGGATTTCCGCCAAAAAGTGTTCGCCGTATTGGCCAGCTGCGTGTTGGTAGCTTTTTGGCCCTTGTCGTAGCAGTGACGCTGATCCTTTGAGCGGGGCTCTCGGTTAGCCTGTCGGGCTCCTTGGTTGACTGCGTCGTCTTGGTCGTGCTTGTTGTTGACGAGGGGTTTGGGCAGATCGTGCCAGCTCCGTTATAATCTTGGTCGCTGGGGTCGTCAGGGCTGTCTGGCGAACCCTTGTTTCCCCATTCCTGGCCGCCTTGATACGCGTTCGTCCATGCATCCCACCAGCACTTGTATACAAAATCTGGTCCACAAGCCCTGCCTCCGGCCGGATCGCGCGCTTGGGTCAGGGGCCGCCTGCCACGGGCGTCGGTGCGTTTGGTCCAATGCTTGCCGGAGGAAGTGGGAAAGGAGTGAAACAGGGCAGCAGTGCCTACTGCTGACCAACACCCTCTCAAGAT